TATAGCTTACTGTTAATTATTGTCCATCAAAGACAACTAAATATATCCTGGCTATATGAACGGCAGGGTCGGGAAGGGACGCCCTAGACGAAGGTTTATCGACCAGATCGGCGATACATTGAAAATGGGCCAGATTAGGAGTACCCTTAACCGACGAGCGTGTATGCGTAGATATATGGATGTGAAAGAGGCGAGAGAGGTGTGTCAGGATCGCGCCAAATGGAAGTCCGTAGTCTCTGTCTACCCCTCTGGGTGACAGGCGTGAGTGTTTATGTATGTATGTATGTATATGCATTACAGGAATATTCGTCGTACATCAAGGCAATTTCCAATATATTTTCATTTTATTATAATATTTCTATATATTATGAGGAGCTATTATTAGGAGCTATTATGAGGAGTCAGAATGTGTCAACTAAGGCGCGTATGGCAATTCATAATGCTGTGTTAGTCCCTACTTAAATGTATGGTAGTGAAAGTTGGGTCTAGCAGAAGAAGCATGAGAGTAGAATAAATGCTGTAGAAATGCGTTCCTTAAGGAGTATGCTAGGGCTGAATCTGAATGACAGTGTGAGAAATAGTGTGATAAGAGAAAAGTGTGGTTTGCAAGATGACGTTGTGACAAGGATTAAGAAAGGAATGCTTCGGTGGTTTGGTCATGTAGAAAGAATGAACGAGGAAAGAGTGACAAAGCAAATTTATGTTGCAGAAGTGAACGGCAGGGTCGGGAAGGGACGCCCTAGACGAAGGTTTATCGACCAAATCGGCGATACATTAAAAATGGGCCAGATTAGGAGTACCCTTAACCGACGAGCGTGTATGCGTAGATATATGGATGTAAAAGAGGCGAGAGAGGTGTGTCAGGATCGCGCCAAATGGAAGTCCGTAGTCTCTGCCTACCCCTCTGGTTGACAGGCGTGAGTGTTTATGTAAGTATTATGTATCTATATACTTTTTGAAAATTATTGAAATGGTACACAATTGCGAATGTGTGATTTATTGGGGCTAGTGGTTCTGGTACAAATTATTCGTTTTGCTACTTCCTCTTGTTTTTTTATATTCCGTAGTTTAGAACATCGTGGAATAAAAATAAGTTAAGCAAGAATATCGGGACATCCCGTGTTTACCTATATGGCGCTATGTATATTATAAATCGCGCATAACAGTTCATCATGTAAATGGTTAAAGGTCTAGGTCTAAGTCCGATGAAGCTATAAAAGCCAAAAGGCTAACAGCACAAACATCATCAGAAACCAGTATATTTCCCGTTCAAATTATCTAAGTCATCAAATCAAATAATTTTCAAAAAGTTAATCGAAACAATACGAAAATTTACGTGATAATGCTACATTTAGGCACATTATTCCCACCCATGGTTATTAATTAGGATCCCGTCTTAAGTGTATTGCAGTAGAGCATCGTGCAACTTTTCGTTCAATACAGACTATCAATACAAAAGTCCACTGCTGAACGTATGCTTCCTTTCTCCCATAAATTTCATACTAGTTACATTGACATTTGCCATAGTTGCCACACTTGACTGATGGGCTGGCAACCGCAGATTTTTTATTATTTAGAATTTTTGTCAAAAAGATGCTGCTACTCATGTCGTTTCATTCCCCTCTGTTGGCTCTTACGACACGGGACTGACTACACGGCCAACATTTAGTTAAAATATTTAATTGCACTGTTTCTTGTATACATTAATGACTTACCTTACATAGTAGGAGATAACCATGATATAGTATTATTTGCAGATGACACTTCTTTAATTTTCAAATTAAGTCGACAATTGCTAAAATATGACGAAGTAAATAATGCTATATCTAAATTAGTAAATTGGTTCAATGTTAATAATTTGCATTTAAATGGCACTAAAACGAAATGTATGGAATTCATGACTCCAAATGTCAAACAATTAAATACTAATGTAATTTTAAATGCGGAGAAACTGAGTCTTGTAGATACCACCATTTTTTTTGGAATCACACTAGATGCGAAGCTTCAATGGGGCCCCCATATATCAAAACTAGCAAGCAGACTTAGTTCTGCAGCATATGCCGTAAAAAAGATTAGAAGTCTAACTAGTGTTGAAACAGCTAGACTAGTTTACTTTAGCTATTTCCATAGAATAATGTCGTATGGTATTTTGCTATAGGGACGCGCAGCTGACACTGAAATTATATTTGTTTTACAGAAGAGGGCCATAAGAGCAATTTATGATTTAAAGCCTAAAAATTTCGCTGCGACTAAAATTTAAGAAAATTAATATATTAACTTTGACCTCTCAATACATTTATGAAAATGTAATGTACGTACACAAAAATAAAAGTAGTTTTACAAAAATAAGTGATATTCATTCTGTAAATACTAGGAACAGACACAAGCTAGTAGTACCAGTTACTCGACTCCATCGAGTCGGTAATTCATTCGTGGAGCGATGTTATTTTTTTTTTAGAGGAGAGGGGGCAAACGAACATGCGGCTCACCTGATGGTAAGTGACTACCGCCGCCTATGAACAACTGCAACACCAGGGAGGGAATTGTAGATGCGTTGCCGGCCTTTATTGAGATGTATACGCTTTTACAACAAAATTTCAGAAAATATACAAAATTTGACTTGCTCAAAGTTCAAAAACTTTATTAAACTAAGTGTGTTAAGTTTAACCCCTGGAAATGAGGTGATCGCTACCAAGCTATTTCTAATTTGTTGTGTTGTTAATTTGTGTAAAATACATGATTGTAAGCTGTTATTTAAAAAAAAAGTCCCGCTGGGTTTCTTGCTGGTTCTTCCCAGGACAGAGGTTTTTTTTTTTTCGAACCAGTGGTAATTATACAAAAGAGTGACTTTCAATAAGTATTATTTGTAATCTATATTGAATAAAAAAAGTTTCTGTTTCTGTTTCAAAATAAATTGTCGGATTTTAAAAACATTTTAATTTTTTTTTTGGAATAAGCTAGTTTTTTGTTTTTCTATCAGCGCTTACAATGGTAGAAAGTCGGCTTGGCTAACCCCGCTTAATCTGTGATATATTGTGTAGGTTTAGGCATGTATTGTGCATGTATATACTTCAAAGTTCGCGACTTTTTGTTATCTTTATAATATTTAAGTTTAAGTTTAATTTTCTCAAACTCAAGTTATAATAATAACGACCGGAATATTAACTCATTGTATTATATTAATCTATTATTCACCTTTATTACACTATTGAATAAAAAAGTATTTTTGTTAATTTTATTGTAGTTTCAAAAAGAAACTTATCTGGGCCACCTGTTATATATATACAAAATTTATATATTTTGGCTAATCAATTAAATTGTGTTTAAATAATCTTTTCTCTTAATTCCATTTAAGTATTTCATTAGAAGCTTGAAATTCGCAATAAGTAATTCAGCTAATCGATGTCGACTTATGTAGTTTTTTATAATGTTATTTTTTTATTTTACTGAGCTTTTATTTAAAAATATTAACACAGTATGTGATAGAACAAATTATATTTTTGTCGATATCGATAAGTGAGAACAATTTGTGTTAATCTATGTGTCTCCCACAGGCCCTATCCAAACTGCCCAATAATATTCTGGGTCCTGTTACCCCGGCCACTGTGAGTTTTTTCTTTTTATAACAGTTTTTTTTTGCCTACCGTTTCTTTATTTTCTAGCACTATTTTAGCTTATTATTTTTAAAAAATTCAATTAGAATTTATTTTTAAATCTAGTAGCCAGTTTTGTATTATTTCTATGTATTGATTGGCCAACACCGTTCCAAAATTCCAAATTCCTATTTTGTTGTTTAGTTGATCCATTCAATCATTTTAGTCGAAGTTTAACAAATAAAAAATTAACTTAATTTTTTATTTGGAACTTCTAAAATTCTAGCATTAATACGATTCATTAATTATTGATTTTCGGTTTTTAATCTTGTTATAAATATAATACTTATTCAGGTCATAAGTTCTGTCAAAAACTTTTTATAAAATTAATGACACATTTTTGATAATTATATAGAATTTATATATGAAATGAAAGGTAATTTAATTTAGAATACAATTTTATTTACAATATTCAAAATGCCCTCCCCTATTTTGAATACATGCATCAATCTCAGAGCGCACATATTCATATCTATTTCTGCCGCTTTAGCCAAAGATGCTCGGAGAGATTCCAAATTCTGATGAGGTTTAGCGCAGACTTTCTCCTCCAAATGTTGCCATATCTTATAATCCAGTGGGTTTAAATCTGGACTAGAAGAGGGCCAGTCTTCACGTCCGATAAAGTCAATTCCACGCGGCGTGCTTCGTGCCCTATGAGCTGGTGCAGAGTCCTGTTGGAATATCCAATGTCTGTTTTTAAACATTGTTTGAGAAAGACGTTCTACTATATATATTTTGATACACCTCGGCACTGGTTTTTTACACCTTTTTCTCAGAAAAACACCTCATTTAAGCCTGAGTATGAGACTCCAAGCCAAACCATGAGTGACGAAGGATAATGTGCTCGTTGAACCCTCGGAATAGGCGTGCCGGCTTCTTCCCTGCTGTGGGCATACACCTCATCATTTAGTTTATTATAACTTTCTTCGATGTTAAGAATTTTTTTATCCGATAACAAAATTTCGCGGTATTTTTTCCGTGTACCGCCGTAACAAAGCACGGGGTCTATCAAGTCTAATTTTTTTTCAAACACTCGTTCAAAAAATGTCCGGTTTTCTTACGATGAGCTCGTAGTCCTAGGTCTTCATTGATCACTCTTTAGACCATGGTTCTGCTTAGGCCCATCTGAAGAGCTAAGATTTTTTGTTTACGAACAGGATTTCGTTGGATTCGCTTTGACAGAACTTATGACCTGACTAAGTATTTATATTTTTAAAAAGATGGTTGAATGGGTTTTTATAAATCATTTCTTTTGTGAATACCTTACAAACAAAACAATTTTAAAAGAGATTAAAGTATTGATAGTTCTGAATTTGACGGCCATATTTACTTACATTTTATTTTTAGGTAGTGGATAAAACATGCCATTCTCCAACTGCAATGCTGGAGCAACATATGATGTGGGATGACATTGCCATATTGGCTAGATATTTGGTTGGTATTATTTTGTATATATAAAATATTCTATTATTTAATTATTACCCTGTCTCCTTTCATATTGGCATAAATATATTACACTTATTTGCAAAAAAGGCGGTATTGATTTTTTCCTTGTCTAAAAAAAACAATACGAAAAAGGTTTTAATCATTTGAACATGTTATGTTACTGGCTGCTTATAAAGTGCCGTGGTGTTTAAAAAAGTACATTCCAAATTCAAATGTTTGCCTGATGCTCGTTTTTAAAGAAAACAATTTTTTACTACATTTTTTGGCGCGAACTCCAGAAAGTTAATATCAACTTTAAATAACATTTAGTCCGTTTTTATTGAATTATCTCATGGTAGATAAAATGAAGCAAAATTATTGCGCTGATTGAGGAGGCTTGTAGGGAATGCTTCGTGGCTCAGAGGTTAAATATTATGTGTCCTTCGACAGTAAAGGACTTGACAGCGCTATTAAGTTACCATTTCCGCACCAACGAATGATCGTTTTTGGTGAGTCAAGCATTGAAAAATCGCAAATCTTCGTATGCGGCCCTCAAGACAACCTTAAAGAACTAATAAATGTGCAAATTGGTCTATGGACGGTCGTCGCCAGCAGCCCTAAATTACTCTGTGAGCACCGAGTTACCAGGCTTAGCTTTGTTTCAAATCGTGCGTCATATGCTCATAGGGTATTGTTCTCCGATGATGCCAGGATATCTCTGTACGGTGTAGACCGATGTCGGCGAGGGGAACGCTTTGCAGTAGCGTATTTGAAAGAAATCACACCTAGTGGTAAGGGCTCTGTTAAGTTTTGGGCAGGAATAAATTCCTTGGACCGTACGGAGTTAGTCTTCATCGAAAACAGCACACTGACTGGATACCGATACATAACGGAAGTTCTTGTGAATATTTCTCATTAATTTAATCCCTTGCTTTTATTTTTATTATTTAATTCTTTGCTAATTAGTTTACGGAACTAAAATTATCAAAAATGATATAATAGTGACAATAAAATTGGTTCATTGCTTAGGTGTCCCCTTTTTTTTTGCAAAAGAGTTGGTATTGTTATGTTGGAGTGTTAAATTAAAGTCCATTGTTGAATATGTTTAGATACATTTTCTCTGTTCCTTTCCTCTTCTCTGTAATTGACATTAATAAAAAAAAGAAAATTAATCTTATTTGTAGTTTTCCATTACATAAGTCGAATATATTTAATTTTCTGATGAAAAAAGCTAGTAATTGGGGAATAATAAGTGTTTTCTTGCTCTCCTGTAATTTTTTGAAAAATTGAGGTTCGCCCGTTTGCGGCGTCAACGACGAATTGTCTCACTTATACGAGTTATTGAGCTTCGAAGTCCCAATTATAGAGGTAGGTAAACATCGAAAAAATGTATGAAATCTAATCTTAGTTAACAAGGTTTGAAAATTCCCAGTAACAGAGGTATTTCAATGCAAAAGTGTCAGGACCTCATTGTAATTATCTTTAACAGAGGTATCACACATATCCAGGGCCCACTTAACCAGGTTTCACTGTATAATAAAACGAATCATAATGAAGAGTGCAACGTTTCTTGAATATTGGAATCGGACATTAATGTACAAGAGTTAAATTGTTGTTATTTTTTGTAATAAATAAATTAATAAAATTTACTTCGTGCCAAATCATGGAAATTATGATACGCCGTAAATTTGAGATTGATTTAGCAAAAACTAATGATAACAACAAAACGCAGTTAAAATGTAATTTATATATGTACCTTTAAGACACGTTTAATTTAAGTACATCTGTACTTGCGCAACGTGAAGTGATATACCAGTTTGCATTTAATTGTTATCGTGTGCGCATACTATAAGACAAAAGCAGTACATTGAACCTGACGTACATGCAGCTGATGCTGTCGTTCAACAACTGCCTGGACGTGGCGCGCCACCTGCCGTACCTGTTCCACACGGTGTCGTTCCTGGTGTGCTCGGGCACCGTGCCCATGCGCGCTGCCACGCACGGCCTCGTCATCAACATCATACACTCGCTCTGCACTTGCAACACGCCCAGCTTCTCCGGTCATTACTTTTATATCTTATTTTCGTAGCTTTAGAGTTAAGACCCACAATTGAACTTGCAGCTTATATGATGGCTTAGTATGCTTTTTTCTGGTTACGCGGTCGGTAGTGATAAGATTTATGCGAAAAAAGAAGTATTGTTTTTTCGAGTGTGGTTGTATTATGCATTGCACTGCGTATTAGTCTTCGATCTTGTCGTATACATCGGACACGGGTAGGCTTAGTCGATTGGGTGGCTTTTTCTTTGCGTGCACATTTGTGGCGCAGGTTTTCATCATCAGTTAACTGGCCAATGCAGCCCATGTAGACTAATATCTCGCAGATAATGCTTATGCGGATAATCCATAGCAGTTAAACCGAAACACTCCGTACTCGTAGAGCCGCGCTGCAGCTACATTACAGTTGCAGCACGATTGGGTCGGCTCGATTGCGGAAGGACCATGTACTCACAGAATATCATATAGGGAACCGGATATGCTTTTACTGGTAACGGGGCATCCTATCATAATTCTCAGGGTATGAATCTACATTTTTATTTCTTAATTCGGGATAGATGTAGATGTGTATGGGCCACAGCATCAGATTATTTGCTCAGGTTATAAGGATTAATATATTAATTCTTTAGATCAGTTATAAACTTTTAACTTACACTTCTAACTTCTGGGCAATTACGCACAAATTTTTGAGCGACAGGGGGTTTCTACCGCTTCCGCAGTACTAATAAATGACCTTAGACTAAGAATAATAATTTTTCGATATCTAAATTAATCCTTTTGTTAAATCCGGTAAAGTGACACGAGTTGCTAATCCTGCAATCAACGTAAAATTGGTATTTGACGTTCCGAATAGCTTTAAATTTGGCTTTCCACAATGTTAAAATCGGAACACAAGTTGCACTACTGTTTGTTAATAATAATAGATAGAAGGTGATCATTACAAAGATGGACTTCTTTCCCGGATGGGATTCGGCTGTAAGACCCATTGCATGTTAGCTTTTAAGTTAATGCGGCCGTAGCTTTTGACTCTTAGCGACAATCCACGACGTCATAGGATGACGGATCTTTACTGTCAACACACACAACTATAAAATATGTTTACTAATACTATGTTTTCCAATAGAAGAGACTCGGCGCCTACTAATGATGTCGTTGGATGAGTTCGCGCTGCCCAAATTTTATCAAATGTTTGGCATATCCAAAGTAAAGTCCGCTGCTGTCACCGCCTTTAGAAGTCCCTACAATCATCACGGTGGAGATTGGTACGTATTGCATAATAATATTGTAGTTTTTTTACGAAATTCGAAAGTAGCTTTACTTATAAAATTACAAAATATTTTATTTTTAGCAGACTTCAAAAAGGTGGTTCATAAGTACACTGTATGTGTGTACGCGAATTCTTCGCCAATTGAGAGCCGACGGAGATTTTTTTTTTTATTAAATAAGATATATTTCAGGGGTTAAACAAATAACTTCTCTCTAGTTTTTTGACGTCTGTTTTTACTTTTGTTGAAGTTCTTTTTAGATATAAAACGTTATATAAAAATAAAGAGTAAGACGATCGAAACCATACTACATCATACCACCGTACGAAAATCGTACTAGACTTAGCCGGAAAAATTGGACGTAGCAGTTGTGATTCTGTAGATATTATAATTTATTAATTATCCGCAAATAGTTTTATGTGTCAAAATCATGCTTAATACAACATTCCGTTTCTTAACATTGATAAATATTAATACCTACCATGTAAACACATATCGAATTAAATTTAAAACGTTACATGCTAATTGTGAACATTAAGCTGATAAAAATTTAAAGACATCCTAAATAAATTTAAATAAAAAAATATGCCCAAATAGTAAAATTTACGCTCATTTGAGCTTTCCAAAGTACGAGGTTGAAACACCGCCGACCACCTGATTCCAGGCTGCTACTGAGAATTTCTTGAAATAAAAATCCAATAACTGATTTCGACCTTACTCAGGATTTGAACCTGGGACTACATGATCAGCAGTCACATTTAATATTACTAGATGAACGAGGTAACCATATAGTGACAAATCACACTAAAGCGTGTCACACACTACGCAGATACGGTAATATTTTATTTGCGTACAAAACTTAATTATCTGAAAGTGATAATATCACACACTACGCTGATACGAAATGATACATTCACTCGAAATCCTTCAAGCTTAGAAAACGGGTTTTTTGGAGCGGATTGTTTATACAGAGTGTTACCTACAATGAGTTGGCGTATATTGCTTCTATGTATATTTGCGAGACAGCTCGTCAGAATAGGATTCTGATTTTGATTTTGATGCACGTGTTGCATTAGCATTTACTAAAAGGCGAAGAATTTGGATAAAACGTCAAATAAAGTTTTAAAAAGGCCGAGGCGAATTTAATTGCATTTTTTCAGCGACCACCTGTATTTATCTGCAGGTAAAATCCTATGCCATATTTGTATCTGCAGATAACATCTATCACTACCTTTCGATATATATCGGCGCATACAGATACTTAATGATAAAATATAAATTATCTATAATGAAGGCTATTTTTTGTAATAAATATGCCTTCAGTATCAAAAAATCTCATAATATTGAAACATGCGAATCTGTAGATATTAATACTGAATAAAAGAGAAATCTATTTAGAAAATCTATTGAAAAGAGTTATTAAACTAAACAAAATATTTGAACAATATCGGACACGATTGAATAGGCTGTATGGTGGTTGATCATTTCCTGTTTCGAAGGAGACTTTACTTCTTCTTCTTCTTTCTTTTTTATGGTGGTTTTGATCATTGGGCAATGTCAGCGTGAAAGTGTTTATTGAGTAGAAGCTTGGTAGTTACAAATACTATGCTTATGTACAAAAGAAGATTGTGATAATACAAGTATCTTATTTTCTTTAAACCAAGTTTTTTCCCCTTTTATCTTGTGATACTAATGGTTGTACTGTTGAATTACCTAGAACAAAAGACAAACACATTGGTTAATAACTTAGAGTTTCAACTTGTCATGCGCATTTGGCATTGCGGTTGTGTTTGTTTCGTGTTTTTATTTTCGTGGATTTATTTAACTTGACCTTAGGTTTTTCTCTCAATTTACAGTGTTGCGCCCACATAATGACAATAATGTTTTACTTGCATTTTGAGTGGAATAGAACAGACAATGTACAGTCCAGGCTGCTTTTCTAGATGACATTTTATTAATAATTGCAGAAAATACTTACACAATTAAAAAAAGTTTTAATTTTATTTTATTTAATAATACCTACTAAACTGCATTATTTTGTGTCCTTTTCAATTTATTTAAACAACTTATCCCAAGAACGTGTAATTTTACTACGTAACCTAGAAATAATAAAACATTAATTAAAAACAAAACCGCAGATTCTACAAAAATACAATTTTTTGTCATAATGAGCAAATGTTTAAATCTTCAAAATAAGATATATTTGAACTTTTTTCACGCCGGGCCCAAGCTTGTATGGTACCAAATTCATCTCCTTTGATCGGAATGTTGATGACGGCATTAAACCCTTCAACCTTCTCTCGAATTTCTGACGACCTTCCCTCAAAAAGTTCCGTGAAGTCCAACCTACGTCATCATCAATGATGAATTCATTTTACAAGTGTTAGAATGTTTTGAATTAAGATAAGCGAGACTCGACTACAAATAATGAGAGGGACAATCTAATTTTAGAGACAAATTCACACCCTCATAAGTACTTATGTGGTGAAAATGAAATGGAAATGACACAAACATAGTAATATTTTTCTGGTAGTACGCTAATATTTATCAGCTCCTCCAAGCAGCGTCACCAATTAACAATTATTTATCATAGCTGGTCTTACATATGAAGAACATTCGAAGAGATTACTCATTACCACTACTTAATTTTGATTACTAATTTAATAAAAAAATATTTTTGAAAAAAAAAAGCCTTTTTTATAGTATTTACACTTCCGCTTCTGCGTCCGTTTCCGTTTCTGTTTCTGCTAAAATATTCGTTAGACTTCTGTTTCCATTTATGTTTCTGTTATGACACTTCCGTTGCATCACTAACGATTAGCTTCAAGATAACGGTGCATTTATTAAGGATAGGTGATTTTATTAACTAGTTTTTGGAACAAAGTTCCTTATCGCACGGTACGAATTTAACGGATGGAGGCTAGGCGGGAAAAAGTGTAAAGCCGGCTATACATGTTGTCCGACCGTTTATTTTCTGTATTAAAGTTCTATGAGTGTAAGTTGCTAAACAAATGCTTTTCTCGTCTGTCACTTAACATTGAGAGGACAGTGTGCTTCGTTATCACACTCCTTACTATAGAAAAAAATCATTCTATATCCCATACAAAACAAAATCACAGGCACTGGAGTCAGTCTAAGACAATTAACTAGTCGATAGCGAAGGCGAGCACCAACGTATAGACAGCCCATTTGTCTAACCTCGCCATTGCTCGTCGACGCTCTCGTATACGGTTCGTTTGGCGTGCCTTGCCGCCACTCGGGATCGCTCGCTACGACTCGTCAACTTCGAAACAGTGTCGGTTATTCTGCACAAATCAACGGCGCTCGCCTGCACTCGGCAAGTCGCGTCCACATGTTAGTCAGCCATGTCAGTTACAGCTTGGCGTCCGTATCGGTGAGATGCTAGGTTTTAATTAAGTTGCAACTTCAGATTAATTTTTTCAATGTCACTGCTTCTTCTTTTTTACAACTTTAGTGCGGATACACTGGCATGATAATTATATGCACTCATTAAATAAATAGCAGAAGCTGCAATAACTTCTACGTCGGCCAACATGTGGATAGCCCCACAAAAACTCGTGAATATTGGCAGTTAATAATAATAATAAATATTTATTTCATTTCGAATTACACATGTTGACATACAGGAAACAAAATGATTACAATTAATAAAGTAACAATAAGTCTAACAAAAATAACATGCTATGATAAAATTAAAACTATGTGTAGCTAAATAATGTAGAATCTACAAAAGAAGATAGAAAATTCATATTTATAATATTAGCTACCTGCCTGAACTAGGTTGAGTACCTGTGTTTCAGACATCACTTATACAATCGGTTTAATAATGTAGGACACTAGATATTTAAATAATTAAACTAAATTGTATAATAAATAAAATAACTAAATAACAATTATTTATTGCCTACAATTAATACAAACTATTTAAGTATATCTAACAACTTCTCTGTGTCATCGTAATTTAATTTATTTAGAAATTCCCTTACACTTATATTACAGTCCTTATAACTTAGACTATATACCTTTAGTGATTTGTTGAGCTTGTTATATAGAAAGGGTCCTAAAAATATGTAAAATTTGTTCACAAATGCGTGTTTGGTTTGAGGGTTTACACAAACTAAGTCCATTCTTCTCCTGTCTATGGATTTTAAGTTATATGGAAGTTCGGTATGTTGTTTTAATATGATTTTCAGGATAAACAACTGACGGACAGTTAGTACACTACATGCCAAGTACAGTTGATGTGTAGGAAACATGAATGGACGGAAAGTGGCTACCTTTAGAACTGCTCTCTGAGCACGTTCTAGTGGGAGCAATATTGTTTTAGAAGCACAAGTTGGCATTGGTCTCTTTCTAACTTAACCAACGTGTAGACTGTAGCACTCGCCTTGAATCAATTTGCCTATGCTCGCGTTGGCTGACGCTTAACCAACAGAAGGCATGTTGGGCAAGCCTTAGCTATTTTTCAGTCACGACCCCCTTTCTATAGTGCGAGCGAGATGAAATAATATCCATCTTTCTCGCACTTTTCTTGCCATGAAAGACGCTAATAATTCATATATTTGTATTTGTTAATCAATAATATAATATGTTTATCAATAATAATATACTACGAAAGGAACCTCGTTCCAACCGAGTGTTTCACGACACTCACGCATGTTTTTTATTTTTATTATTATTACAAAGACCCTTGCTTATGCTGCTTGCAAACGTTTAATCATTGACTCATTAATAGTAGTAACGTAAAAATTTCATAGATTTTTAATTGGTCTTCTTTTTAAATAGATGCTTTCCAACAGTATGTAAAGTAAAAGACATTAATTATGAGCCATAATTATCGCTTGTACAGTTGAATTGAATAATTGTTTAATTCGGTAAATGATTTCTCCACAAATTGTGTCTTAAAAATTTAAAGTTGGTAAAAAATTACTTCGCGTGCATCCGCTCGATAAATTAAAATGATGTGTCTTACCTAGTTTGAAGAGCACCTCCCGCCCTCCCTCGATTGCGTACACTACCCCCGTCACCACTAATCACCTGAAGATGCCTCGCCTCCATGCTTCACCAAACTAGTCCAGCGTTGAAAAGTTCGCGCCAAGTGTATGATAGAGCTGGTGATTGGTTGTCAGGTACTCGGAGCAGTCGTATAGTGGGTGCGCGGAGCAGTCGCTGGGCAGCGCTGTGTGCAGCGCGCACACGCATACGGATCGCGAGCGCCTGCCGCTGCAGTCGCTGGAGACCATCACCGACGCGCTGCTCGAGATCATGGAGGCCTGCATGCGCGACATCCCGCACTGCGATTGGCTCAACACCTGGTAATCACTCACTTAATCACTCACTCACTCGTTTCCGTTTATCAAAATTACTGCTGAATATAAGCATATATTAAATGCCCATAGATTATAACCCATAGTTCATAGGGGGTATATTTGCAGTTTATTATTTTTTAGTTGTTATTTGTAAGATCATGCTCCTCCATCTCCTGGTTTGTTTTCTCTATGTCCCCTCTTACGACTACACGAGATGATATGGAGTATTGAATACACTTAGACCGCCACTACTCGGTCAACTCACTCATTCTTAAGTACGACATTATGTTTCATCATCAACAACCACAACCACAACTCTCTTGGGTGTGGGAGTGTTGACGAAAAACTGGACCCGTGTTATCGCTTTCAATAGTTTGTTTTAAATAAATATGAAGTGTAGGCCGCGATGTAGGCCTCGACACAGACCACTTCCTGGTCATAGCCCGAATGCGTGGCCTCTTTAAACGGTGGCGACACCGAGGGGCCGAGCTTACGAGTATTTTGGACAGAGTAAAAGTGGAAAATCTACAAGAAAAAGAAAAGAAAGACTAGTATGTAGAGAAACTGAAAGAAAGTTTTAAAGGGATAGAAGAGATAGGAGTGATTGAAGATTTGTGGGAGACATTTAAGAAAGGGGTCGTAAATGATGCTATTGAGGTATGCGGGGTAGCTAAAAGAAGGAAAGGAAGAAAGAATGATAACGTGTGGATGGATAAAGATGTACAAAGGCTTGTGCAAGAAAAGAAGAAAGCGTGGTTGGATTGGTTAGCAACAAAAGCTAACCAAAAAGTTCAAAAGGCAACGGATGATGAGATAAAGGAAGCAAGAACGAAGTATAAAAGATTGAAAACAGCAGCGAAAGAAATTGTGTCTAGAAAGAAAGAAGAACGAAAGGATGATTTCGATAGGAGGCTCACTGAAGATTTCCAGTCAAACATTAAGTTTTTCTGGAAAACCATCAAAACAGCCAGAGGAAAAACTTCTACCTCGGAGCTGAGTACAATCAGGAGTCAAGATGGGAGCATTATAAAAGGAGAAGAATGTGTGTTAAAGAGACGGAAAGAGTATTTTGAAAGTTTGTTTGAAAGAGAGGAAGTGCAGGTACAGCATCTGCCACCTTCCACGGAAACTAATATAAATGTTGATGAAAGTGAGATAAGCATGGATGAAATAGTGAAAGCGTTGAAAAGTATGAGATTAGGTAAGGCTGCAGGGTATGACAGGATTACCGTCGAGATGCTGAGGGCTGGACAGGGCCTGGTGGCTAGTCAGCTGTACCGCCTTTTCAATTTGTGCTGGCGAAATGGGCAAGTACCGGGAGACTGGTGCAAAGCCGTAATCGTGCCATTGTATAAGGGAAAAGGGTCACGGCAGGACTGCATAAATTACCGCGGTATAAGCCTTCTCAGCGTCGTCGGTAAATTGTATGCGAAAGTGTTGATTGAAAGGGTTGTGAATGAAACAGACGAGAAAGTATGGGATGCACAAGCGGGATTTAGAAAGGGAATGGGATGTACGGATCAGGTCTTTTCCTTGCGGTGCATAGCCGAAAAGTATTTGGCTAAAAACAAGAAAGTCTACTGCGCGTTCGTAGATCTAGAAAAGGCCTATGATAGAGTGGTGAGGAATGAATTGTAGTCAGCACTGTCCGTGAACGGTGTGAGCAGTATCCTCATACGACCAATGCAATCTCTTTATAGGGATTCTAGTGCTTGTGTAAGGATAAACGGGGCATACACTGAATGGTTTAATATCGGAAAAGGTCGGGATGTGTAGCGTCACCGTGGCTGTTTAATCTGTTCATGGACAATTGTTTGACAGATTTAAAAGAGAATGAAAGTGGATTGAGAATGAATGAGTTACTCGTCAAATGTTTTCTCTATGCTGATGACCAAGTATTACTTGCGTCTTCGGCCGAGGAGTTGCAGGAGATGGTAACTGCTATGAGTGGAGCTTTTGTTAGAAAGGGAATGAAGATGAATGTAAGGAAGACGAAAGTGATGGTGTTTGAAAAAGATGAGGCAGTGACAGACTGCAATATTGTGATTGAAGATGAACAAATTGAACAGGTGAAAGAGTTTGTGTATCTGGGTTCAAAGTTTACAAGAGATGGAAAGTGTGAGAGTGATATCGAAAGAAGAGTGAATGCGGGAAACATGGTGAATGGAGCTTTGCACTCCTTTATGAGCAGTCGGAAGGTGTCTAACAAGGCTCGTTTGGCTGTGCATGAGGGGGTGTTGGTTCCGACACTCATGTACGGAAGTGAAACTTGGGTATGGCAGAAGAAACATGAAAGCAGAATAAATGCAGTTGAGATGAGAGCATTAACAAGTATGATAGGAGTTAAACTGAGTGACAAGATAAGAAATAGTGAGATAAGGAAACGTTGTGGTCTGAAAGAAGATGTAGTGACAAAAATTGAGAAAGGTATGCTGAGATGGTTTGGCCATGTCGAGAGAATGAATGAAGAACGATTGACGAAAAAAGTGTATAAGGCGAGTGTGAACGAAAGTGTTGGAAGGGGTAGACCTAGGCGGACATTTCTAGACCAAATCAGGGACGTCTTGAAAAAAGGCCAGGTCAAGAGTACCCTAAACCGTAGAGCATGTATGAAGGGAATAATGAAAGTGGACGAAGCAAAACAAGTATGTAAGGATCGTAGCAAGTGGAAAGAACTGGTCTCTGCCTACCCCTACGGGAAAGAGGTGTGATTATATGTATGTATTTCTCTGTACAAAATGTAGTGCCATTCCATTCTGCGTATTTAATGTCTACACGTATAAACTATTAGCGAAAACGATGAAACAACTGCTCCGATGTGATATAAACATCGAATTATTTTGTTTGCTGGCGCCGTGAGATACTATCCTCATCCACTGTCTGTTTGGTTAAGCTGCCAACAAAAACTCGCGAAAAAATCGCATTATGAAAAATTATTATTTTAATTAATGTTTTACTGCATATGATGTATTTTCTGAAAGTCTTGTAATCACAGCCTGAATACATGAATACAATAATATAATAATACTCTCAATACATACCTACTAGGTGATTTTGGTTACTAATGTGCTTAGCATCATCTGATGTACCATATCACCACTATGTAGAATTTTGGGGTTTAGCATTTTCAAACGTGTGTAACGCCATTTATCGACTATACAACGAAGATTTACAAACGAATACAATTGAAAAAAAAAGTGATTACATTCCACTTACACAAGGATTTTGTTTTTTTTTTTTTAATTACTTTTTCGATGATTATCATGTTCATAAATTTGCAAGCAGTTGACCGCTTGACAAATAGCTCTCCCAAGAATCACCAATAAAACAACTTTCGTCTTCAAGCATTTCAAGAATTTTTGCATCTTTCCATAGACTCATCTAGCCAAGAGGTGTCCCACACTACTTATACATATTATATCCCTTCATTATGGAACACCCCTACATTAACAGTTGGTTTTCGGAGCAGATGTGATTGTGACCGGGATATTTATATCCATGTCAAAATTAACAAAATACGAGTATCAGTCACATGACATAGAGTAATGTCTAAGCTAATGAATTTTTTATTGCGATTGCATACAAAACATTGCAATTGTGGCAGTTTGACTTAGCGAAGGACACATTTAGTTGTATGCTGATGTTGCTCCCTTCCTTTCCCTCCTTGGTCGTAAAGTAATCAATGGAAAAACAATGAGTCCGCAGTTAATACCTGACAAACGGTAAAAAACATATCTTCTAACATTACTTTGACTATATTCCATCCACCTTTTTATGATTAGGTATTATTATTAATAAAAATTTACAAAATTTCCAGTACCTGGTAAAATGCTACCCTATTTAAGACTTAAAATTGTTATATTTTTTTCAGGACATCTCTAGCTAAAAGTTTTGCTTTCTGCTTCAACCCGGCCTTACAACCTAGAGCGTTGATAGTGTTTGGATGTATAAGTAAGTATTTTTTTCATGGCACAGTAAATGGTATGAATTTATATTCTTCCCTGTGTTTATAATTTCTTAAATTTCTACCAAGGCAAAAATGTAACCGACGACGACATGAAGCAATTACTGAGGATATTGGTAAAAGCATTGGAATCCTTTAACGACCTTGCACTTTTGGAAGCTCTCATCATGTGCCTTACGAGACTACAGCCACTGTTGCACCCGGTAAACACAATTCAGTCTAAATCAATTTGAAAACTATATTGTAAAAAAAAAACTTATTTCTTATATGACTTTTATCATTTTACTATACAATAAATGTGTAGTTTTTTATCATTGCCATTATAATTGTTTAGGAATCGCCAATACACAAGGCACTGTTTTGGGTGGCATTATCCGTGCTTCAGTTAGGCGAAGCCACGCTATATGCAGCGGGTTTAGCTCTAATGGAACAAAATCTACACACATTGGACTCGCAAGGAGTATTCGATAACAAGGTAATTATCAACTTTTTATGTTTTTGGCAATACGTGGAATTTTGTATAATTATTATTTTTTTCATTATAGGCCTAATATTGTTATTATGGATATAACTTAATTATTTTTTCAGACTTTAGAGCAAGTGATGATGGAAACTCGGGAACCTTTAGAGTGGCATTTCAAACAGCTGGATCATGCGGTTGGTTTAAGGTAATAAAATAAGTTAAACATTTACAAATGTGTCGACTACAATTTTAGACGTCACACTTATTCCTTTATATTTACTGCCTTCTGGACATGACTTTTCGATCGTATTGGATTCGTATCGCCAGTGAGTGACTCATTGACGCCCGTCAGGTTAGCTATTCATATTTCCGTGCAAAATTAATCTATAATGATATGAAATAGTTAGTATCAAGAACTTGTGCTAAGGGTACACTCTAACTTTAAAAAAAAATCTAATTTAATAATTAAAATAATGTTTAATCTACTTGTCTGCACTTACGATTTTTCAAATAAGAAAAGCAACTTGAACACAGAGCAAGGCCTGTTATATTTTACATTTAAACATGACATGTGGTGTAAGAGAATCCATTAATTAATATCACCATGACGTGGCGGTTTAAAAGACAACAGAGTAAAAGTTTTTCACTTCAATAGTAAGGTTTTAATATATTAAAGTATTTGTGTATATCCGAATTAGAAAAAAATCATACGAGAAAACAGATGGTACAGGCTCTTTCTCACTTGGTCTTGGGTAATAAGGCAAGCAAAATACTGGCAAAATACTGGCAAGGACATAAAAGAGCTTGTTCCAATTTTACTGCTTCAGACATGCTTTCGAAAATTGGTTGCCCGTAGAACAGGAACACCGAACAATAGTTAATTTTTAGACAAAAATCTGTTTTTTTAACAACCTGTTATTTTTTCTGTTGCGATAAATAATGCCTCATTCTTATAAAAATCGTATCCATCGTTCATAACTTTTTAAATCGATTTTAAGAAATATAAGTGGACTAAAATATTTCAATGTACGAGAGGGCAATGTTTTTAAGTTCGCGGAATGGGTAAGTAGGTAATAAGTGGGTACGTCGCTGAATTACGTGCTAATTGAGCAACGCATTATTAGTATACATATCGGATTTTATTGTAATTAGATCAATAGTCTTTGAGTTATCGTCAAATAAACAAGTCAATCGGGAAGAAATTGAAAAAAATATGGAGAAAATCGAGTTCCGTGTCGTTATAAAGTTCCTTACCAAGCGCGGAAAATCAGTTCAGACTATACTGGAAGAGATGTCATTCGTTTATGGAGACTCTTGTCCAAGTAAAACTATGGTTTACAAGTGGCATACCCTTTTTAAACAAGGCAGAGAGACTCTTGAAGACGACCCATGGCCAGGAAGGCCGATCGAGGTGACCACTTCGGAAATTATTCAAAAAGTCGAAAAATTTATATTAGAAGATGCCCGCCTAAAGAAAAAACAGCTCGCAGAAATGGTTGGAGTGTCAGATACAACCATTTTCAAACATGACTAAAGTCAGTGCAAGATGGGTGCCTAGAATGCTCACGCCGCCTCAAAAGCAACAGCGCGTGAATTGTTCTCGTGCATTTCTACTGTTGACGGGAGTTCGAAAAGAAGCGACGGGCGGGCCTCAAGCTCAAGTAGCTGACCTAGAATAGTTTACTACCTGGTGCGTGGGCACACGATCAACGGGTTCGTGTTGTGGGACAGATAAACAATAGAATAAGAGGGATAATGTAAAGGAAGTTTCCTTATGCCTCCTCCGAAGTAACTTTGATGAAGTGCTCGTCGAAGTTGATCGCAGTCCGAAGCCATCCATCATTAGTTTTTACACGATAAACACAACACTTCATCTTTTTCTTCTTTATACTACGAAAATACACCGATTTGCGATTTTCGACACATAAGCGCACAGGACGAACGCTGACAGTATACTAACTAAAGCCACGCCCACTGTGATGACGTCATGACTTCGTTAGAATCACAGTGCAAATACAAAGAGGGAGACGGCCTAGTCAACTAGGCCGTCTCCTCTTTGTATTTGCTCCGTGGTAGAGAGGTACTTCGATTCGCTTCGTGCAACCTCGCTTCGACTTCCGATCGCTGTCGGTTTTTTGCGCTGAAGTCAAAGGACTTCGCGAAGTGCCCCGAAGTTACACGAAGCGTCTCACTACACTACTCGGCGTACGCCTGTTATATATAAAAAAAATATGTATAAATATTAAATATTATGTAGCTTTCTACGTATGTATTTATTTATCTACGGTTAACGCATTGACGTCGTACTGTTCACACAATTAGGTACCTATAGCAGCTGCCTCTTTAACGTTTATTCACGTTAAGGGTGCGGGACTCAAGACGACTGAGCTCTTCGCGAAGTAGCACGAATGTGTGTAGTCTCGTTCTTCGGACTGCAGTCGACTTCGACGAGCACTTCGTCAAAGTTAATTCGCGAATAGTGTAGAGGAGGCATTACATAGTTAAACCTAATAACAGCAAATCGCAAGTAGGTGTAGTGGGGCCATTAAGTTTCTTGATTTTTGATTAGTCCGTGTTTCGATACTCTCGATATCAGATGTGTTTATTTCGGTTCTCGTGGATTATCTTCGTTTTACGACCAATCGGCATTCCTATTGGACTATTTGTATTCTTCATTACAATTGGACTGTTATTTAGGAATATTTTCAACGACTCTGCATTCTATTGAACTTATGTTTTGTACACTACGATTGTATTGTCGTTAGAAGTGTCAAGACGATACTGCAATGCATACAATGCTCAGCTCAGGGGAATGCTAATATGAATTTCATTTATGGGAAGTGTAACGGTAATGCCTATACAGCTGCGGTACTTTATCGGGAGAGATACCTAAATGTGCGTCACCCTGACTGTCGCGTGTTTATTAGAGTGCACATCGCCTCAGTGGTGGTTCTTCTCCTTATGGAGGTTTACATGTGTCGAGGAGACCCTCTTTACATGGGAGGCATCTCAGGAGGACACGACCCCCCGGTCCTGGTTGCTGTGTTGGCAGCTTTTATGTTGGTGTATTGCGCACCTCGCGCCATCAAGTCGAGTGTCGGGACGCTCACTCACCCCCGGCGTCCCCTGTGCCGGGCAGTGAGCGTAGAAGTTCACGTGGGAGTGGTCGCCCGTCAGGTGGGCGGGCTTGGAGGGGAGCTAGATTTTGCAGATGTGGACGTGGCCCGTTATCTGCGCGGTCAAACAACCGTCTCGCAGTACGGGCCACGAATTCGGAGATGGATTCGACCTTGAGGTCGCGTGCGATGACATCGTTCCTGACGTAGCGACCGGCTCCCACGATCACCCGAAGCGCAAGATTTTGCTGGGCCTGCAACCTTTTGCGCTGAGTGGCCGAGGTCAACAAGCCGCGAGCGGATGTAGGTCTTGTAGATACCTATTTTCGTTCTTGTTGGGAGTTTGGATGCCAGTATAGGATATAGTTTTGCTCGCGCAGCTCTGGCCTGTCTCACAACGTGATTGACCATCGGGGTCATGCGCAGCGAGCGATCTCTCTGGCATCCTAGGTATGTAATGGTACTACTCCAACCCACATCCTGCCCGCGGAGTTGCAGAGTTGGTGGTGTTCTGGCCAGCCTGGTCATGAAGGCGACGGTCTTCCCGACGTTGACCGCCAGTCTCCATTTGTCCAGCCACTCAGGCAAGAGGTCGAGTACCCGCTGCAACTTCTTGGCAGCTATGTCCACCCGACGTGACGACGTTTCCGCTTCTCGGACAGAAGCGTTAGCAGTTTGCGTGGGAGTTCCTCCTTCCCGCGCCCCGTGGAGACAGGGTGAGAGTGGAGTTGGAGTTGATCTTTTATGATGTTATGAAGATGTGGGGCCGCTGTCTCCACATCTTCACTGGTGGTAATTGGGGCGCAGAGTTGGAAGTCCTCCAGCGCACTACGGAAGCGTGTCCAATTGGTCTTCATTCGGAGACTTCTGGGCACTACGGCATCCGCACTGGTGTCGATGGTAATCAGCACGGGGAGGTGTTGCGTATCTACGTCATACAACACTTCCAACCGTGTTGTATACGGCACTAGATGACACAGCACTATATCTAGAACATCGGGCTGATGTTCGGGTTTTGTGGGGATATGGGTGGGCTCATTTAGGCCCAGCACCTCGTACCCCCACTCCTCGGCGTCGTCAAATAGTTTCCTACCAGGTGGTGTTATCAGCGCGGAGCCCCAAGCGGGATGTTTCGCGTTGAGGTCTCCGGCGATAATAGCGGGTGTTGTGGAGTCAAAAATAGATCTTATGTCCTGGGGGGCTAACGAGGTGCCGGGTGGTCTGTAGGCGGCGAAGATCCTTGTTTTTTTGGTCCCCACCTTCAACCTTATTCCCTTAGTTCTTGTAGATGTAAATTGTGTATTGGTGCCAACTTCTTCGTGCATGACGTCCCTCCTCACAAGGACCGCAGTACCTCTGTACGCGATACCTTCTGGGGAGATCTCGTCGTGTCGGTACACGAAGAAGTTGGGGAGCTTTAGTTGAGCAGAGGGGCGCAGTTTAGTTTCCCCCAGCAACACAATCTGGATATTGCGTTGCTGGACCAGAGTTCTTAGGTCGGCGACCTTCCCTAAGACGACTTCCCGCCAGGGTTCCAGTAGCACATCCTAAGTTGATGGCTGACGGAAGTTAGTTGGGCTAAGGCCCTTAGGATGGCCGAAAGGGGGTTGGTACCGGTGGTCATGGCAGTCAGGACCTCTCCTAGGATCCTGATTACCACGCTCACCAGTTGGGCGAGGGCCTCCTCGATGGTGGTTGGTGCCTGGGGCTGTGATTGGGGTGTGACAGTTATTGTCCTTTTAGGTGGGCGTAGATCTCGGGGTTGGGGTACAGATTGCTCATTCTGGTTTGATGGGGAGAAAGTGTATCGCGGTTGTGGCCGTGGTTCTAGTTGTTGTGTGGTGGTGATGGGTGGAGGAAGAGGAGTCGACGTACCTCCCACTAGAGCTGGTTGGGTGGTCGCCTTCTTCTTTTTCTTTTTCCCACGCTTTCTTTTGGGGCGCTCTATGCGCTCCGTGGCATCGTTCGCCGGTGGGGCTAAGGTCGCCCCGGTCGCCGCAAATGTTGTTGGCGCTGGCATTATTATCACCTGCCGCTGCGGTTGTGGTGCGTGACTTTGTGGGTGTGGCTGATATTGTTGTTGCTGGGATTGCTGATGGTGTGGTATTTGAGGTGGTGGTTGTTGTCGTTGCGGTGGTGGTGGCGGTGGTGGTTGCCATTGTGATGATTGCGGTTGTTGTTGCGGTGCTCGTGTTGCTTGCGAGGGCATGGGAGGTTGCATATTAATGCCCCTCTTCCTTGCTATACGCTGCAACACTGGGCACCGTCTGTCGTTTTCCGAGTGGTCCTTACTTAGGCTGCGCATCCCGCGGCTGTGGGCAGGCTGAGGCTAGGTGGTCTCCCGCACAGGGTATACATTTGTAGGGCCGGTAGCAATTGAAGGATGCATGCCTGAACCCTTGACACCTGTGACATTGCGCGGGGCCAATTCGACTAGTCCAGGCCTCTATAGTTACCCCCGGCATATAAAGCAGCTCGTCAATCTGATACAGTCTGTTGAGCTCTTCGGGGCTTAGATGATCCATTTTGACATGGAAGAGACACCCGGGCCTGCCTCTTTTTGGTGGTATATATCGTACAAAAGTTACTGGGAAGCTCTTCTCTATGAGGGCCTCCTGTATGTCCTGAGGGTTAGTATTGGCAGGGAGCCCTCTTAACCCCACCTTCGTGGGTTGCTCCTCCTGTCGGGCGTAGCACTACCACACGAAGGTGGCGTCCTCCTTGCTTTGGTCAATTAAGTATCGTTGGACCTTTCTGTACTCCTCATCAGATTGGGGCCGAAAACGAACCCCCTTCCCAAATGGGCGTTCGGAGCGTGGCCCAGAAGTTGGTGGATAATTTTGAAATGCTTCGCCCAATTTGGGAAGCATTCAACAATGATAGGGGGGTATGGGGTATTTGGCCGTTTGGTTGTTTACGGATTGTTGAGGTCTTTGTGGTGGTGTGGGTGATGGTGGCGCTGTTCTCGGTGCAGCTGCGATACGCGCATAGGAGTCCGGCGCCGAGGATGGTCCTGGTATGGGCTCCTGGTTTGGGGGGACGTTTTGTATAGGGGCGAGGGTAGCGTAGGACGTGTTATCCCACTCCCTCTCCCCTTCCGGGTCTTGTTCGCCGAAATCCTGCATATCAGTTATGCAGGCCGGAGAAGTGTTTGGTGATGGCGATTCAGGTGGGATATTGTGTCTCGTCACTGGTTCTGGGGCTTGTCTTTCGGGTGTAGGTGTTGTCGAGGTAGAAGGCGATGCCGAATCCGATAGTGAATCAGATCCAGCCTTCAGCCTTTTCTCCTCTTGGAGCATGTCGTCCTCTATCTCTGGTGGGGTTCTCCTCCTCGAGGCTAGGTTTCGGCGTGGAAGAGGAGCCGGTTCAGCGCTTGGGCGAGACTCAGCTTCACCCGCACTAAGCGCGGCGCCTGTGGCCGGTAGACCACCTATCCGCTTTGGGAGTTGTCTGTATGGCGGTAGCACTCTGGACCTCTCAGGAGCGAAGAGGTCTCGCTCCATGAGGGGCCTGTCGAGTACTCCCGGACGCCTATCTGGTGGTTTTCGGCTCCCCCTTGTCCGACATAGCTTGGTTTTCTCTAACTAGCCCTTAGCTATCACACACCTTACTCCCCTCAGCGCGTGCAACCACAACAGGTGAGACCCTTGAGGGAGGCCCAGCGAGGCGCCCGCGAGCAGGGAGGGGTGTGTGAGGTGCAGATGGAATAGGGCGGTAACTCACAGAAATTATGTGGCACACTTGTGTTCTTCTTTTTATTAAAAAATATGTCCGTTACTAACACAAAGCAGGGCACAGTAAATAGATAGCGTACTTTGCACTTTCACTGATCTGTTAGTCTGACGCAGGAAATTCGCCAGCGACGCCTGACGGAGCGAACTCGACGTCGGCGGAGTCGATCACTGACACAACACGAGCACTAGCACTGGAGCGCGATGGACACGTCCGCACTGTAGCACGGACCGCGGCGAACTGATCGCCACGGAAGGAATAATGCCTGGACATGGTGTCGGTGGTTTCGGCGAAACAAAACCCCTGCGATGCACAGCACATTGGTCACTTATAAAAAAAATAAAAAGTATATCTACAGCAGTTTGGAAAAAATTACTTTTTTTAAAAAGTATAAAATTAGATACCTCTGTTCACATTTTTGAGTACTACGGCAACAAATTTATTAATAACCTTCAAAAGTGTATTCAAACATATAACTCTTAAAATTCCCATCATATTGCGTGTTTATTATTGTAATTATTTAAACTTAATTGTACAATGTTTTATGTATACCTCCCCTAGGCATTTGTTGTAAACAATTATTTGCTTAGTCGATATTTCGAGGGTGAACCTCGAAAGGTTCCAAGCAGATCAGGACAATTTTTGTTACGTTTCGTGACCATGGACGAAACCTGGAACCACAATTTTGATTCTGAAAGCAAACAACAATCAATCGTTTGGAAATGAGCCTCCTCACCGACGCCGAAGTAATTCAATGTGTCAAGTTCGGCGGGAAAGGTTATAGCGTCCGTTTTTTGGGACGTTGAAGGAATAATTACGAGTATCATGGAATATTTTTAAAAGGGAGCCACTATTTCGGTTTTTTACTACACAGGCTAAATAAAAAGATTGCGGTAGGCTATTAAGGAAAAAAGACGCGGCAAACTGCAAGCTTTCACAAAGACAACGCTCCGGCTGACAAAGCCGCAGTTGAGATGGCTACCATTCAAGAAACGGGATTTGAGCTGCTCGAATACCCGCCCTATTCACCAGATCTAGCTCCCAGTGACTTCTATCTATTTCCTCGGCTCTAGGAAGACCTTCGAGGCAAGAAATTTGCAGTGATGGATACTGTTGAGGCTTTTTTGGAGGGTCAGAGTAAAGATTTATTTTTAAGGAAATTCTGGGTTTGAAAAAAGATGGGCTAAATCCATTGACTTGTTTCAAGACGATGTAGAAAAAAATTTTTTTTAACCATCTTTAATATTCATTATCATTACTTTTACATTACACCCCTCGTATGTTTTAAAATCTTCTCACATCTCAATAAAATTTTAACTTCGATTTCAACTTGGATAATTTTAACTCTTTCACTGTCCCGTGCACTACATATAGGTCATTGCTGTTGTCTTACTATTGTGTCTGAAAACCGGCCAGTGAAAGTGTTAAGTAAGATTTAATGTAATGTAAGGTAAGCGCAGTTTTCACGTACAGTATTGTGCATAAAGTGGGCGGTCTTGTTGCACACAGCTTTCGGTCGAACTTCCACTTCGCGCTGGTTGGGCATCTAATCAAGGGCTATCGGCACCCGCAGGCGGCCACCGTGTCGCGCACGTGCCGTGTGCTCGCCGCGCTGCTGGCCACCGCCGCGCGCCGCCACCACGACAAGTTCCACGTGGCGCCCGCCACCGTCGCCTACCTCACCGGTAGGTGGCGCCCTCACCGCACTACACACTACACTCTACACACGCGTGTCGCCACCGCCGCGCGCCGCCACCACGACAAGTTCCACGTGGCGCCCGCCACCGTCGCCTACCTCACCGGTAGGTGGCGTCCTCACCGCACTACACACTACACTCTACACACGCGTGTCGCCACCGCCGCGCGCCGCCACCACGACAAGTTCCACGTGGCGCCCGCCACCGTCGCCTACCTCACCGGTAGGTGGCGCCCTCACCGCACTACACACTACACTCTACACACGAGTGTCGCCACCGCCGCGCGCCGCCACCACGACAAGTTCCACGTGGCGCCCGCCACCGTCGCCTACCTCACCGGTAGGTGGCGCCCTCACCGCACTACACACTACACTCTACACACGAGTGTCGCCACCGCCGCGCGCCGCCACCACGACAAGTTCCACGTGGCGCCCGCCACCGTCGCCTACCTCACCGGTAGGTGGCGCCCTCACCGCACTACACACTACACTCTACACACGAGTGTCGCCACCGCCGCGCGCCGCCACCACGACAAGTTCCACGTGGCGCCCGCCACCGTCGCCTACCTCACCGGTAGGTGGCGCCCTCACCGCACTACACACTACACTCTACACACGCGTGTCGCCACCGCCGCGCGCCGCCACCACGACAAGTTCCACGTGGCGCCCGCCACCGTCGCCTACCTCACCGGTAGGTGGCGTCCTCACCGCACTACACACTACACTCTACACACGCGTGTCGCCACCGCCGCGCGCCGCCACCACGACAAGTTCCACGTGGCGCCCGCCACCGTCGCCTACCTCACCGGTAGGTGGCGCCCTCACCGCACTACACACTACACTCTACACACGAGTGTCGCCACCGCCGCGCGCCGCCACCACGACAAGTTCCACGTGGCGCCCGCCACCGTCGCCTACCTCACCGGTAGGTGGCGCCCTCACCGCACTACACACTACACTCTACACACGCGTGTCGCCACCGCCGCGCGCCGCCACCACGACAAGTTCCACGTGGCGCCCGCCACCGTCGCCTACCTCACCGGTAGGTGGCGTCCTCACCGCACTACACACTACACTCTACACACGCGTGTCGCCACCGCCGCGCGCCGCCACCACGACAAGTTCCACGTGGCGCCCGCCACCGTCGCCTACCTCACCGGTAGGTGGCGCCCTCACCGCACTACACACTACACTCTACACACGCGTGTCGCCACCGCCGCGCGCCGCCACCACGACAAGTTCCACGTGGCGCCCGCCACCGTCGCCTACCTCACCGGTAGGTGGCGCCCTCACCGCACTACACACTACACTCTACACACGCGTGTCGCCACCGCCGCGCGCCGCCACCACGACAAGTTCCACGTGGCGCCCGCCACCGTCGCCTACCTCACCGGTAGGTGGCGCCCTCACCGCACTACACACTACACTCTACACACGCGTGTCGCCACCGCCGCGCGCCGCCACCACGACAAGTTCCACGTGGCGCCCGCTACCGTCGCCTACCTCACCGGTAGGTGGCACCCTCACCGCACTACACACTACACTCTACACACGCGTGTCGCCACCGCCGCGCGCCGCCACCACGACAAGTTCCACGTGGCGCCCGATACCGTCGCCTACCTCACCGGTAGGTGGCGCCCTCACCGCACTACACACTACACTCTACACACGCGTGTCGCTACCGCCGCGCGCCGCCACCATGACAAGTTCCACGTGGCGCCCGCCACCGTCGCCTACCTCACCGGTAGGTGGCGCCCTCACCGCACTACACACTACACTCTACACACGCGTGTCGCCACCGCCGCGCGCCGCCACCACGACAAGTTCCACGTTGCGCCCGCCACCGTCGCCTACCTCACCGGTAGGTGGCGTCCTCACCGCACTACACCCTACACTCTACACACGCGTGTCGCCACCGCCGCGCGCCGCCACCACGTCAAGTTCCACGTGGCGCCCGCCACCGTCGCCTACCTCACCGGTAGGTGGCGCCCTCACCGCACTACACACTACACACGCGTGCCGCCACCGCCGCGCGCCGCCACCACGACAAGTTCCACGTGGCGCCCGCCACCGTCGCCTACCTCACCGGTAGGTGGCGCCCTCACCGCACTACACACTACACTCTATACACGCGTGTCGCCACCGCCGCGCGCCGCCACCACGACAAGTTCCACGTGGCGCCCGCCACCGTCGCCTACCTCACCGGTAGGTGGCGTCCTCACCGCACTACACACTACACTCTACACTCTACACACGCGTGTCGCCACCGCCGCGCGCCGCCACCACGACAAGTTCCACGTGGCGCCCGCCACCGTCGCCTACCTCACCGGTAGGTGGCGTCCTCACCGCACTACACACTACACTCTACACACGCGTGTCGCCACCGCCGCGCGCCGCCACCACGACAAGTTCCACGTGGCGCCCGCCACCGTCGCCTACCTCACCGGTAGGTGGCGCCCTCACCGCACTACACACTACACTCTACACACGCGTGTCGCCACCGCCGCGCGCCGCCACCACGACAAGTTCCACGTGGCGCCCGCCACCGTCGCCTACCTCACCGGTAGGTGGCGCCCTCACCGCACTACACACTACACACTACACAGTACACATACACTTCAAGCACTACTCATAGTACCTTCGTCGCATACCTCACTGGTGTGCTGCCATCATTACTACAGTACACACTCGTATGCTCTAGGCACCACTTTGCTTGCATTGCTTACCTCATTGGCCTCTTGCCATCCATCAGTCGCAGTCATCCAGCCATAATCATTACCACAGTACTCAAACCATCGAAGTGCTTGAGTCGCCTACCTCATCAGACTGTTGCCGCCCTTGCAGCGATACACATGCACTCCAAGCACCACTAATTTTGATTACCTCGCCTACTTATCTAATCGGTCCTCTTGCGAGCAATCGCAGTAATAACACTTTAAACTTAACCAGTATTAGTGACGTTGGTTGCAGATATTCTATCATTATTTTTTTTTATTAAATTCATGCAAAGATAAGTAAATTATTTTTAGTATTCTCTAGTCAAACTACAATCAGTTTGTCGGCGAGTACACGTTCTTAAAACTATATATTATTATGCGCCTAATCTATACATATACAATTAATTACAAAATACAAAAAGAAAGTAAAAGAAGAGAAAGTACAACCTACTACAATTACATAATATTTAGAAATAATAATAAAAATAATAATAGCGATAAACAACAAAAGCAATAAACAAATCAAATAAATGAAACATAAAAAAGCTATCAATAAAAGTATGCATTAATGTGTAATGTGTTATAGCTGTTAATAATGTTCTTTTTAGAAGGGATTTTAATAAGTCTGCTTAATTTATTTTTACAATATATGTATATTGTATATATTATCCCTTTTACCGAGATATTTCAAGATAACGCTATATATATAGCTACTATATCTTATATTTTAATTTTGTTTTTTAACGATGTAATGAAAATTGTATGGCATTTTTTCTGGACAAATTAAATTAAGTTATTTGTTAATCTATAGTTTTCATTCTTATTACTACAATTCAATTTATTTTCTAGCGTTGGTATGCGTTAGCGAAGAAGTTAGGTCGCGATGTCATGTGAAGCATTCCCTTCCAAAGTGGCTGCCTGACAATTGTGATCATTACTGCCCAACCGCGGAACATCTCCAGGTATAGACAGTTCTCATATTTTATTAATGACTAAATTTCTCCTATATTGAATTTTAAAATACCATATTATTGCGCTTTAATAATCTCATTTTACTTAAGTTACAAAGTGATGTTCTAAAGCATAAAAATAAGGTATTACACCAATTTTCAAATGGTGTTTCAAATTAATCCTAGAGTGATAATCAACCACTGTAATTTTTTTATATTTTTTTTTAAATCTAATAAATTTTAAAATCCTGATTTTATTCTGGACAAAGTTCTTGTCGATAAGCCGGTGTAAAACGCAGCCATATCCAATGAGATTGACAGGGTATTTAAAATAATGTTTTTCCGTTCAATGTCACAATTTTCTAATACTTTTCTGGCTACTTGTGATAATATGTCGATGCGGACTCGTGCAGCGCTATCGCTAAGACTTAACGTTATCTTAACGCGGCCGATGTGCGTTGTATGCGGGGCGTCTTCCCCCCCCCCCCCCCCCCTCTAGCCTCCCGCGCCTAACTCATACCCCGATTGCCAAGTCGAACTGTGTTTGTTGATGTTTTAACATTCTTTCATTTTTTTAAAGAGGCTTCAACTCAGCAGAACAAAAATTGGAATTGCATGCAAAGAAATTTGCCATCAATGTTGGGTAGATTACTACTTTCTGCTCGTACGAATTCGTCTTCCATGATGCCATTTCGATTAAATACGTATTGAAAGTCAACATTCATGATGATAACTTGAAAATTTTGGAAACAACACTGTTCGCGCCAAACGCTGTTGTCGGAATCGACGTCTAGGGGGCGCGCGGCTCGGTGCCATACCGGTTTGAGAGTTGGATGTGTCGAGCGTGCCCGAGTGCAAGTCAGTCGCCTGCCAGCTGTGCTTGGGACAGCACGCTGTCATTTTTTGTCGGGAACTCGGAATAATTAGGCGCGGCTAGTCAATGTACTGTCTAGGATTTGTGACGCGTATACCTTGCTGTAGAGCTTGTCCGGGACTCATTGGATTTGACTCGGAATCTGTATAGGTGCATTGGAGAATATTATCTAGTGCGGCCTTTGATATTCTAGAAATAACTGTTGCTACGCGAAGCGGTGGTGACCTTTGATCCTAACACTCCCTGTTCGTTTGTGTGTTAAGCTTTATAACAGCCGAGTGTTGGTGGCTTCTGTAAGTTAGTTAATGGTACGATAGAGTTAATGGACTGTCATCGTGAAGAACGAAGAAAGTGACTGTGTACGGCGCCGCGGAAGATTGCCTCAATTTGGAGCGGTGCTGACGCCCTGGCTGCTGCCGACGGCCAAGGTCTACTAAGGTCAATCACCATCAGTCACACCCAGATACACATCACAGCACCTTATTTCCCTTGCACTACACAACCACATGCGACCTGACCGACTCCGGAGGGACCAGTCGCCTTGGATATAGGTAAGTAAGCTCCGCCTAATATTCTCCCTGTTGAATGGCCGTACCACAGAACGCTCCCCCTTATTGTTTAGTGTAACTAGAGATTTTCCACTTTGGCCTTAGGAGGCCCGACCTACGTCTGCTCGTCGAAACTCAGCTGAATGGGCCCCTGAGGATTTGACCTTTATGGGAGCAGCCGTAGGCCGTAACAAACTGAGGTAGCAGTTTGTTACGGCCTACGGCTGCTGCTGAACAAACCCCCGTCCCGGACATAAGGATTTAGGTCCGCGAGCAAACCGGTCAGCGGGACAAGGTCGCGACGACAAGTTGCAAGACCGAATCTACAACCAAACTAGGCCATCTTAGGCACCCCATCAGATCTTGCAACCCTAACCAACGCCTCAAAATTACCGCCCCAACGTGGGCAAGCCGGTGGGTTGAACTGGATGCCCTTCCTGGCCGTCGCAGCCCATAAATAAGTCCTATTCTGGACAGAAGTCTGATGACCTCTTTCAAACACCTATCTGTGCCCCTACGATTAGTTCCGCAATCCGACCGGATCAGGTCTGCAAACAGCGACGCGACACGAAGCGGCCCAGAGCGGCCTCCTAAGCTTCAGTGCAGAGAGCACCCACAAATTCCACATGAACGTCGTCTGTGGAGAGCCGAACGAAACGCACAGATAGTCCCTAGTATGAATTTTCAACAAGTAGGCCTAGCCAGGCCACCCACCATATTATCATTTACTAAAATAGTGCGACAGCTGATTTCAATCTGATAATCTCCAAAACTAGCTAGCCTGTTAGACAAGCAGTCCTATGCTCATATTTCAACTAATTTTTCAAAGCATCAATGTTCAACTACAGAATCAATTCAACCAAATTAATCACCGATGCACATAGGTCAACTTGACAAATTAAACAAAACAATAACGTAAGAGACAGCCCTATTTCTCATTTACGTAACTTAGACAGTGCCAACAAAATGTAAACCACAGGAGAATTGACTTTTATTTACCTCGGCACAAATAGGGTTATCTAATTTCAGCCTTCTTTTTCACAAAGCAAAATGATTAAACACTATCACAAAACATATACATAATTCTCCAAATAGCGCGACATTCAATTTCAAATGAATTCAAATTTTCTTTTCAGCAACCAGGCGCCACAATCAAATGCAGTGGTTAAATATATTTACAAAACATATGCAGCAGCATTTAAAGGAGTAGATTAAATTCAATTATTTTGATCACAACCGCTACAAATAGGAAAATTTCGCGGAAAGCCCAAAGCATTTTTAATTTTAATTTAAAGAATTTTTAACTAAGTGCTCGACCAAACCAAATCTAATACCCCTTGACAGCGTGATTCAACGCTCCAGGGGGGCCCTAATCTTCCCACCATCAAGTGGAGGCCACACGGCGTGAACCCGAGACCAATAGAGCGCAACCGCTGACAGTCGCCACTCGGGTTGTACGCCTTCACTGAGGCCGTCGGCAACAGAACATTTTGACAAGTGGACTGTTGACGGCTTAAGGCTCAGTAGAGGCGGCCGTGGTGGGAGCTAAGGCGGCACCTAGCCAGGGCCGCCTCCATCAAATGGGGAACAGTGGTACACCAGTCGCGGCCACTCAGCTAACGGGAGTGAGAAGGGTCCAGCGGACCGATGAGTGGCCGTGAAGTTCCTCTCCACACTGAGGGGGGGAATTACCCCCCGAAAGGGGTCCCTCCCCCGACTGGTCGGGGGAGGGACCCCTTTCAAACTTAGGGGCCTGGTGGCTGGCCGGCGGGCGCCGAGAGTCGCCCGGCAGAGGGCGTGGCTGAGCGCCCCCGCCCGTGGGGGTCGAGTGCCTGGCAGAGCCCCGAGAGGAGACGCCGTTCGCACCCAGGCACAAAACTTACGGCCTCGTCCCCGCCGTACCTCAAAATGGATTCTAAGGTCGAGAGGTAGACGGGACAGCACGATGCGGAGCAACAAAAAAGCCCATTCGTCCACTGGTAATTCCAGCCGCCTCAACGTATTACAGGCCACCAAGACTGGATCCAACAGGTCCGGACGTAGTCTGGCCCGGTCACTAAGCAGCGGGAGGCTTAGAAGCTGCTTAACATGTTCGTCCGCAATTCGCTGGACGTTGGCGTATCTTCTAGCTAGGAGGTCCCGAGCAGTCTGGTAGGCGTCGTCCGACAATCTCAAGTGGCCAACGACGCCCAGGGCCTCCCCCTCCAGTGAGGCCAGGAGGTACGCTATCTTTTGGCTCGGGGTCAAGTCACTCCGGGCGTCCACTAGGCTGTCGAAAAGACCAACGAAGGTCAGCCATTCGGAAAGGACCCCGGAGAACCTTGGCAGGTCCAGAATTGAGAGCCGTCCCAACAGCTCTGGCTGAAGCTGCTTCCGAGAGGACTCGGGCAGGCCACTCATCAGAGCTTCACGCGCCTCCTCGGCATACCTGCCTTCAGCCTCGTTCAACTCGTCCGTGAGCGAAAAGAACTGCTCGTAGTCCGCGAAGCAGGAGTCCAGGACTCCCTTTTCTACATCCGAATCCTCGAGCTCAGCGTAAGCCTCCTCCACTGCGGCCCTTCGAGCATCCACCTGCTCGAACCGCTTCATCAAGTTATGGACCCTATCCGGTCGACCTTTCAAAGCATGGGCGCTTGTGGCCCAGCATAACTAATTTTGTTGGTAAATCCTTCACCATTCAGGCTGCACTGCTCTGGAACTCCTTACCCGATGACGTCAGAAATACATCTAATAAGACTGCCTTTAAAAGATTGGTTCACAAGCACTTTAATGATAGTTAGTATGGTCAATTTGGTTACCTTTGTTGTTATTCTATTTATAGGTTTATGTTATATATCTATTTGTATTTATAATATGTATATATTTATGTAAATATAATATATTGTCTGTATTATATTTTATAGTATATAAGTTTATTGTATTTATATATATAATATTAGTTTATTTTTAAGTTTATCAGTAGTTTTTTTTCCTTGATTTACTCTATTGTTCATTTTATTTTGTCACCTATCACCTAATTTCCACACGTCCCGGGTTGACTGGGAGAGAATGCCTAAAGGCATTAAGTCCGCCCTTTGTAATCCTTTAATTAAGGTGCAATAAAGTGTAAATAAATAAATAAATAACTCAGTCCGCAGGCAACGGATTAGTAGCTTGGGCGATGATATCACTACTAAATACAAATTACGACGCGGCTCGAGCACAAATTACAAAGATAACAAATAAAAAATACAACAAAAAATTAACGGTTAATAAATGCAGTTCCTATCAAATCGAGTTGAATAGAAATTACACAAATACGAATTACTACGTATCAACCAAATACAAGTTAGCACAAAAGAAAAGACACAAATCAAATCAACAAATAACAAAAACTAGTGCTATCAAATCAAGTTAAATTCAAATTGCGCAAATACAAATTACTACTCTTTAGCTCAAATACAAATTACAATACGACTAAAGATACACATCACGGTCGATCAACAAAAAATGCCTCGCTCGGAAATCGACCCTTCGATAAGCAATCCACTACAACTATCCGGCAACGATAATTAACCGATTACGTGATAATATCCATCTACCTACATGACGTATACCTCTAGAAAAACTCCCGCTTGCGCACTATAAGGGCGCGACTTTCAAATCTACCCGCTAACCAAATAAGCAAGCAACAAAGGAAAATAATTTTATTATTACGTACAAAAAAATATTTTTACGTATTAGGGACGGGCGTGATTGTAGATACAAATTAAACCAATCAAACCAACGCTCCCTGCCACCAGAATTGTTTAATTTTTATTAAACTATGGTCGGGATCGACCGGGGAATCGAACCCGGAACCACGCTCTGCTACCAGTCTGTTACGGCCTACGGCTGCTCCCATAAAGGTCAAATCCTCAGGGGCCCATTCAGCTGAGTTTCGACGAGCAGACGTAGGTCGGGCCTCCTAAGGCCAAAGTGGAAAATCTCTAGTTACACTAAACAATAAGGGGGAGCGTTCTGTGGTACGGCCATTCAACAGGGAGAATATTAGGCGGAGCTTACTTACCTATATCCAAGGCGACTGGTCCCTTCGGAGTCGGTCAGGTCGCATGTGGTTGTGTAGTGCAAGGGAAATAAGGTGCTGTGATGTGTATCTGGGTGTGACTGATGGTGATTGACCTTAGTAGTCCTTGGCCGTCGGTAGCAGCCAGGGCGTCAGCACCGCTCCAAATTGAGGCAATCTTCCGCGGCGCCGTCCACAGTCACTTTCTTCGTTCGTCACGATGACAGTCCATTAACTCTATCGTGCCCATTAACTAATTTACAAAAGCCACCAACACTCGCTTGTTATAAAGCTTAACACACAAACGAACAGGGAGTGTCCGGATCAAAGGTCACCACCGCTTCGCGTAGCAACAGTTATTTCTAGAATATCAAAGGCCGCACTAGATAATATTGTCCAATGCACCTATACAGATTCCGAGTCAAACACAATGAGTCCCGGGGAAGCTCTACAGCAAGGAATACGCGTCACAAATCCTAGACAGTACATTTACTAGCCGCGCCTAATTATTCCGAGTTCCCGACAAAAAATGACAGCGTGCTGTCCCAAGCACAGCTGGCAGACGACTGACTTGCACTCGCGCGTGCTCGACACATCCAACTCTCAAACCGGTATGGCACCGAGCCGCGCGCCCCGCGTCGATTCCGACAACAGCGTTTGACGCGAACAAACACTGTGTGCGTTGTTTCGAAAATTAAAACACATCACATTAGCTTGTTAACTATCGAAGTGACGTTACGATAGAATCTAATATGGCGAAAAACATTTTGGCGTTTGAGGCACAGATAAAAAAAATTCTTAAAATTGCGAAGAGTGATCTCGCTGAAATTGTTTGTAATAATGTAACCAATATATTCCCAAAAGGTCTTTAGTAAATTCAAAATGACCCTGTATATCCCCTTGTATACCTCTATTTTACTTTTTTTTTTATTTTATGTAACGTAGCGTAGTAGTTGCTTTTTTTATAGAATAAGGGTGACAAGCAAGCGCACACCACCTAAAGTTAATTGGGTGCTGTGGCTCATAAACACCTTCATATATCCTCCGTTAAGACTTAAAATGCAGACGTGCTGTCATTGAGAAGTAATAATGTGGAATGCCTCGTTTCAAGAAAAAAGGGTCTCCTGATCTCTACATTTACCATACGCAACATATAGCAGCATTTAGCTGCTATTTTATGATGGTATTCTTTGAGAAGGGGTAGTCTTTCACTGGTTGAGCCGACCCATACATAGTGCAAGCTTATATAGCTGCAGTTGGCTCTACCGCGCATAATAGAATTCAGATAGAATTAACTATTTCTAGTAGAATTGTAGAAAATGGAGCAGGGACTGGATGAACAGTTCCCCCCTTATCTAATATTATATCTAATATTGCCCATGATGGAATATCGGTTGATTTAGCTATCTTTTTACATTTAGTCGGAATTTCATCTATTTTAGGAGTTAATCATTTATTACAGCTATTATTAATATACGAATTAATCATATATCATTGGATAAAATACTTCTTTTTGTATGAGCAATAGGAATTACTTTACTTTCATCAAATTTTATTATATTCAAATTTACAGTCATCGATGCTGATTCAGCCGCAATCTTCCACACACTTGTCTTGCCACAGTCGTCGCCAGAAATCCTGGGACATGCTCGACCAAGTAGCGTTATCCTATGCACATGGCGGTAAGAGACAATACGTCGTTGACGCTGCAAAGGGGCGAACCTCAATTTTTCAAAAAATTACGGGATAGCAAGGAAAAGTTTATTATTCCCAGATTACTAGCTTTTTTCATCTTATTTGTAGTTTTCCATTAAGTCTAATATATTTAATTTTCTGATGAAAAATGTCTTCATGCTCTCCCGTAATTTTTTGAAAAATGAGGTTCGCCCCTTTGTGGCGTCAAAGAGGAATAGACTATAATAAATTTTAATTTTTATGTGTTGCCGGTGTAACTACAGGCTTTGACATGTTATATTAATCCTTTGGAGTGTTGCAGTGTACTTGATGATGTTTGATGGCTACTTTGGTCCGTAGACACATGCAATAAACTTCAAACTAATATGGCTGTAGATGCGATGCTAACCCGAAAGCCTGAGATGGAAAGCCTCGCTTGTTACTCTTTTTCTTTTATAGGATAAGGGTAACAAACGAGCACACAGTCCACCTGATGGTAATTGGTTACTGTGATCCATAGATATCCACATCTATTCTCGATCAAAATGTAGACGAGTTGTTTGTTACCCGTGAGGACTAAGCTTTGTTTCCAGTGAAAAGGGTCTCCGGTTCTTTACACTCACCATACGAAACACAGCAGCGTTAAGCTGCTATTTTACGCTGGTATTTTGTGAGAGCGTGGTCATTCCCAGGTTCCCAGGTCGAGCCGACCCATTCGTGCTTCAACTATATGAGTAATATAGCTGCAGCATCGCTCTACCACGTAAAATACTCGCATTTCACAGGCTTATTCTACTTAGTGGCAGAAACACACGTAAGTGAGATTTGGCCCTCGAAGACCTCCGTCAATCACCAGGGTGCACTGCATCGTTGGTCACCAAGTTGGCATTTGTGGAAAATTGTCTGCCTCGTTGGTCAGGAGATACAATCCTGAGTCAGGCAGTTTTGCATTTTTTTAGTCCCGTGCCTCGAAAAGTACGTAAATCCGTAGATCCTACTTTTGATCTCTCTCCGGTCGTGTCCGATTGCCGTCTTATCGGACTGTGATAGTGAGGAGAGAGTGCTCCTGTGCTTGTGCACACACTTGTGCACTATAATCCTGTCCCGTGCAGATGGCTAGTCTCCGTTAAGACTGGCGGCCGTGACCGGAATTCGGTCTAGACGACATTGTTATTGGCGTAAAATTTAACTTATTGTCACTTTAATGATTTCTTATATTTACGCGAACACTACACATTGAATGAAATTACTTTTACGGATTTATCCCGTTTAATTAACTTATTTATATTCCCGTCATCGGGACGTCAATCACCTCAGTCCACCGTGACCATGGGTGCTGCAAAGCACCCGAAACGTCGGGAATTAATAAAAATAAGAAAAATAAGTTCATTAAACGCGATAAAATCCGTAAAAGTAGTTTTATTCAATTATTTTCACTGTGTACACTTAGTGAAAAGATCATTTAACATTAAAAATATCTAAGGGTAAATTGGAATTAAAAATCGAATCGGCCAGGCAGGAAAGGAAACCATTTAACATCAGATTCTAGAAAAAGTATAAACGTAGGGATTTTATTTAAGAGTTTTAAACCTCATTTAATCCTGTTATATAAATGCATTTTTAAACTAATGACTTCAATATAAATAACCCACAGGTAAATCCCCAACACTACAACATTCAAGCAGCGGCGGCCACAGTCCGCACATGATGAGCATTTCACACCAGGTACCAATTCATATAATATGTATTTAGTTCATATAATATTCGCAATATTCATCGCGTTAATACTTTTCTAAATTTGATGTTCTTATGATTTAGTTTGTCAGTGTGTAGTGAAAAGGAATGGCCGCGAAATATGCGTTAATAAGTCTGTGTTGCAACAAGAGGTTAATATGCTAAATATATTGTATTTTATTTGATATATATATTATTATCTATATTTCATTTCTTAGTCGCATATCTGAATAAGTAAGAAAATAGGGGAGCATATTTTTTTAACAAATCATCATCTTGGAGAAATTAAAAATACAGGCTTAAAAATTTCATCAGTCATTTCAATTCCAAATCAGAAATAAAAATATAAAGTTATATAAAGATTTGTTGATTTGTAAATTTTTCATATTTGCTTTTATACTAAGCACTCCCGTTTCCCGAATTACTCTAATAAGCATAGCAATTTTGTTTTAAGAGTTAGATCATAACATATATATTCTATAAATCTTAAGTACGAAATTCCTTGATGTCTTATGCTGACGGAAATCATGGAAATGCATACTATCTAATATATTCATAGGCATTTTAAGTCAATACAAACAGTGAAGCAGCGTGGTGTTCTAAAGTACTCATAAAAGAAGTATTATAAGTAAAATAATACTTAAAGAAAATATTGGAAGTAAAGACTACAAATGTTTTGGACTCGAACTTTAGGCCTAGTCAGTTTGAATAGCCTATCATGTAAAAGATGTCATGGTCATGGTTGAATAGGGGCAAAAAATTCTCATTACACCTAGGGGGTAAATAAAAATTTAAACAGGTTTATTCGTCGAGCCAGGGAACAGGTCGTTATTTTGCAGGACATTATAAATATATGTGAAAAGTATAATAATTATTATACGATTTCATGTAATTAGTAATTTAAAGATTTATCTATACTATAATATAAAAAAGCGGAAGAGCTTTTTTGTTTTTTTGTTTGTTTAAGCGCGCTAATCTCTGGAACTACCAGTCCGATTTGAAAAATTCTTTTTGTATATTATAGCCAAAATCATGTGGAATAGTATAGGCTATCTAGCATTAAGCTATATTACTCAGCTAGTCTTAAATATGGATATTTGTTAAGCAAGTCAGAAGAAAAAGCACTCCCGAAATGATTTATCCGCGTACGCTGGTGATATCGTTAGGGAGACGTAAATACAATGTTCTAGAAAAATATAGACCTTTACTCCGTCTAAAAAAAAGTCCGCGATACCATATGTCTATTTCTTATACATAAGCCATAATTTACTATTTTGTGACAAAAAATATTGAAAATTTAAAAGTGATTCATGAGCGTTATTATTAGGCATGGCCTATTTATCCCTACGAACGAAAGTTACTTCATCATTATGAAGATAAACTTTGTCCTTTATACCATGTTATTTGGACGCATAGTTTAAGAGATATATAAAATTAAAATAATTCAATACTTGGCTGGGCGCGCTAACGACGCTTAAAAACCCTAGCCGTTATAGAATGCTTGAACCTTAGAATAATGGTATTATTATTCTAAGGCTTGAACTAGGTCATGACGCGCACCTCGGACACGTGATGACGCGGGTGAAACCGCGGGGCACAGCTAGTCTTACTATAGAATGAAAACAAAATTATATAAAAAGGTTGTTTATTTATAACATAAACATTCGATTATAAGACAAGAAGTGACAAAACCTTAATGCTTATACTATATATACCTACCTATTTAACATTGCATCATCCTTTATTTCTATCAGTATATTTTCATACGTGAAAAAATTCATAAGTGATACAATGATTTATTTTTAATTTACACCGCGTATCGCTTACGAATATTTTTCACGTATTATATTAAACTATCTAAAACTTTTTTTCAGTAACTAGTTACTACAGTACTGTCGCTCTGTCGAATCATTCTACTATATCGCATTGTGTTTTTTCATGCAACTTGTGTGGATTTGGTTGATCCATTTATCGTTTGTATGCGTATAATAAATTTATTTCACGTCATTGCCCATAACGAATGTATTACTCGCTTTTGCACTGCTTTGAATTCCTTAGACGTCAGCTAGAATGCTTTTTAAGACGCAACGATCCTTCTCCGTGCCCACTTCAAAAGATGCGATTGGTGCTCCACGTGTAATAAGTTTACTATAATTATTTTAATATATGCTTTAGAATTTGCAATGAAACGCCATTTACGTCTTTGAAAACAATGAAAACGTTTACTATAGTATGTTCGATAATAATAATTTCATTATAGATAAATGTTAATAAAAGGGAAGAATGTTACATAATATCAAATTGCCGTTTGGTATGGGAAATATGTGTTTTTTTCACAATCGAAATATTTGTCCAAACTTATTACAAATTCTTGTCATTTTATGAGCAGTTTGTTACTGCCCTTGCTACAAGTTCGCTGAACGAGAATCGATAAAACTCTTTAAAGCCGTTCTTCATTACTTCTTTAGAATATATTTATTTTTTTTCTGTCTAAAATTCATATAACCTAATTAATATAAAATCATTAGAATCGGTTTACAATTGACGAAAATATCTTGTAATCTACATACAAAAAAGAACATACAGTCGAATTGAGAAGTGAGAACCTCTTCCTTATTTGAAGTCACTAGACGTAGTAATTTGCAAACTTCTAATGAAATTTGCCCGCCGCCCTCATGCTCAAACACGATTTAAGGACAACCAACATACTATAGTAAGACTTCGAGATATGAAACATGTTTTCATGTTTCGCGTGTTATCTTAACGAAAATAGCTCCAAAAACTGCCTTATTGGTCTAGTGATCGTAAGCACGACTGTTGATTATGTGGTCCCAGGTTTGAATTTATTGTGCGAGCCAAAATTGGTTATCAAGTTTCTTGCCAATTAATTCTCTGTAGCAGCCTGGACGCAAGAATTTGGTGGCGTATCACCGCCGTGCCTTCGAACGCACGTAAAGCTCTTAGCCCTCTGGCAGATCACTCTCTGAACTTAGGAAACAGGTAGTACCTATATGCTTGCGAACGCACTCGTGCACTGCGCAGTCTTTGTTGACACTGTAACGTGACCGAAATTCGGTTTGGAGGACATTATTATCGAATGGTAGTTATTAAGTACTTGAAGAATTAATCCATTTAAACTTGATATTTTTTTACGAAATGAAGAGGGCGTAAATTACTTTTATATCTTGCAAATTCTAAAAAAAATAGTGTAGCGATGTTACATTAGGCAGCGTTGGATCTAATTGACGTTAAAACGTAACAACTAACAGCGCATGATAGTTTAGTATTTAGTAATATCGCTACGCTACTTCAAACACATCATAACGATACAATTATTTTATTTGGATTATGCGAAAAATATAAATGCATTACAAACCCGCATGGTTTGACCTAATGCGACTTTCCGACACTTTGGATTCTTCACTGCTCTATTAACACGAATATAAATTAAAGTAAATTTAAATTCATTTAATAAAAAATTTCAAGTGTCACTATATGATAACTTATATTTACGTGAACACTGCAAATAAAATAAAATTACTGTTACGAGTTTTATCGCATTTATATTAACATTAAAACTCGATAACTGTCGTAAAAGTAGTATTTTGCAACATTATATAATATATTACATTACATTATATACCTACGTAATAAAAAAAATCTCAATTACACTCTAAAAATATGTAAAAAATATTTACTCAATAAAATATCACGTAAAGCTTTTTAGATGTTTTCTAGCCTTAGATTTTCTAAAATAAATCAATTAAACTTACATATCCTACATATCCTTGGCGTGACATATCCTTTTTAAGCTTTTGAAGAACAGTTTTACAATAGATGGAAATGTTTGTATAAATATGGATTATAAACCCAAGCTTCAAAATGTCTCCTCATTAAATATGTACCACCGTTTCCTTTGTGCGATTTCGAAATCATGACAACTAATTTCTATGATTTGTATTTTATACAAGTCATTGGAATCCGTTGAACCTATTGATCTGCTAGGCAATTAAGTTGTGAATTTTTTGAATAATTAAAAAAAAAGTCATTTAAAAATGACTAATATACTTTTAAAATTGTTTCTTACTTTCATTAGGTATCAAAGAGATTTGCGTTATTTTAGTCATACATTTAGTATATACCCTAAGTATAAAGGATGTCAATGATTTCAATTTCACCCTGTAGTCTCCACGTATACGTCTTTAGTTAATGTAAAATCAATAACAGTTCGAGATCGCACCTTCCTTCCAGCCTCCGCGATAGTTGTGGACTGACACATAACACAATAATAACAACATTCTTGCGTGCTGTGTGCAGGATAGCGAAGGTCGTGCTCATAGCGTACAACATGGTGTGGCCGGGGAAGCGGCCAGGGAACACGGGGACGCTGACAGTGGACTTGATGTGCGTACTTATTACCCTATTTCTCCTTCTTTTCTAACACTTTTTTTACTGCCAAAACATATATAAAGTCTTTCTATGTCTAGATTTTATTACTTATTTACTTTTATTTTAATATTAATCATAGACAGTGTAAGATATCAAGCATTACGCATTTGAAACAGGGCTTGGAAGACGACGGACGCGCCTCGCCAGTTAGCACAGATGATGCAACCGACAGACCCTCATCTACAAAGTCTGGAGATAGTGATTACCCTGAATCATCGACAAAGGTACGATAAATAATGTTATTTTTTATGCATTGTTGTGATATGGGGTTGTGAATTCTAACTTCCATGCGGGGCGATTTGGTACATTAACAATGTTATTAATATTAGTCTAAAGTTAGCCGGTCGGTTACTCTGTACTATATTTATATATATATATATATATATATATATATATATATATATATACTAGCTTATATGCTATAAAAATTCTTAAATAAAAATTTTAAAAGAATATTGAGGGTCATTTATAGGGATAAAAACTATCCTGTCTCTCAAGCTGGACCAAACTGCACACAGTGTGCAAAATTTCATTGAAATCAGTTCAGTTGTTTAGGAGTTCATCGCGGACAAATAACGTGACACGTAATTTTTATATCGCTGCGCGCGGGTTTCCGTAATACTTTGCATCTTTTCTGTTTCCTACGTCACAACAAACTTTCCGTGGTTACTTACTTATGGTAAGTTACTTAAGTAAAGTACATATTCTGACTGTGATCAAAACCATATTTCCGCTACTATGTGAGTTCTGTGATGCCCCAACGCATGCAACTTGCAAGGCCGTTCGTCGGGAATCGCGATGCTTGGCTCGTACAAATAGGTAGATGGAGATAACAAATAAACCCGAAATACGATTCCTAACAGAAATGTGATCGTATTCTACTTAGTTAAAATTTTCTAAACAAAGTTTTAATTTCAGTACTTAGTGTTATTATACCTTAAAATATTTTAACTACTCAAAATAAGTATAGGTATGTAAGTAGGTACTTGGGTAGTGAAGTAAATTTAAACTAAGTTTTGTAATAAAGTGCTTAGGTATTACTTCTGTAGCTAAATTATTAATTAATACTTTTTTCGCTATAAGTACCTTTCTAACAAAGAAATGAAATAAATTCACCGTTTATTACCCTTCGGCAACTTAAAAAATGATATATCTGAATCCCTTTGTTTGCTCATTAAGCATCCATCCCCGCAACAATTATAGTAAGAACGATGTTTTGTAAATATAATTTATGAAATAAATAGGTAATATACATACATATATATTACATTAAAACTTTCAACTATTTTATCGTACGATTAAATATACTAAACACTAAACAAAAACTATTTTGACGAGTATTTCAACAAGTATTTACAAAAAACTATACGTACATATGTAACGTGTACGTAAACAGCGTTAAAAAACTTTACCATTTAATCGCCTAGAACTCGCTCTGCTCCGCCCCTCATTTGTGAGGGGGTTCTAGGGCAAGGAAATGTCCGCTGCGCTACCTTAATGCGTGTTGGCGAACTTCGCATGTCTGTGAAATATATTTTTTTTTCTTATTTCTCAGTCATGCCGGTTTCCTCACGATGTTTTACTTCACCGCCGAGCACGTAGTAAATCAGCACTTAAAATTGCAATTAACAATTTCATTGGTGCCGGCGGGGGATTGAATCCGGGTTGCCCGCGTGCTGTGATATCCACAGGGAGCGCTAACCATTTGAGCTACCACGGATCAGTAATATTGTTTGAAATATATTAAGAAAATATGCGAATACTTCCCATGTCGGAGTGTTGTTCTTTATATTCAATGGGAATGTGAGTGAGACATGCGGGTAAAATACACAATCCGTTTTGAGTTTCCCTCCAGCTTGACGGGCACAACCCCTATCTGAGTTTTGTACACTTCACGCTCTTATAAACGTGCCTTTTCGTCAAATTTTTTTAACATTGAACTAATGTTAAAAAATAATCTAATGTGTTGCGAACCTTAAAAAATAATAATATAAGCAAATACTTGCTTGGTCTTAAACTCAAACAAGCTTAAAGGTTAAGACAGTAATTAAAAAACCCGACTGCTTAAAAATTTTACTGAAAAGAGAAAAAAATTATACCCCATGTCACTTCCACAACTAAGACAAATCTAAGGACACCTCATATGTTAAAATCCATCAAGCCGTTTTTTAGGCTACAGAGCGTGCCTAAGAAATATAATCGATAAAATCTCGAAAAACTTTACCCTCCTTCTGGGGCAGTCGGGTAAAAAAAAATTGTGATGTGATGTTACCGTGTGTGTATAGCTTGTTATTATTTTCAGCAAACATCAACTGATAAAGACACCACAAGTCCAGAGTGCAACAGTCTTCTGGACCCTTCTGTGTTGTCCGACTTCACTACTCAAGCACTTGTGCTCACTGTGCTTGCAACGCTCGTCAAGTATACGACAGGTAAATTGTTTTGAAATCATTTTTGTAGAAAAGATTAAACATTATTAAGTGGCGAAGCTTGCGAAGTCACTTATTGATTTCACGATGTCTGTCCGTTTGTCCGTCTGTCCCACGATTATCTCGAGAACGGTTTCGAATTTTCAAATTCTGTTTTCAGCAATCGATTACTGATCACCCAGGCATCTGAACCTCCTATTTTGAAACTGATTGCTCAACGGCAACCGTTAGAAACCGCTACAAAGCTGATTGCTTCGCCACTTTGCTATGCTGTTAGCTTGCTAGGTTTATTAGTAATGAACTCGAGGGTAATTTTATTTTACAGTATATTCGTTTTGTGTACTACACTTATTTGTAATAATGTATATTTTAATTTTTACAGATGAAGATGAAATAAGAATATTATACCAGTATCTAGCAGAGGGTTCCGTTGTATTCCCGAAGGTGTTTCCAGTTATGTAAGTTTAATTAGTAATTAAAATAAATCTAGATACGATTCAGCCTGCCCTCACTATTAGCTTCTTATTTAATTTCCACCTATTCTTGCATGCTAAAGGTATAGGTATTTTTCCGGTCTAAATGGTATAGAAGAGATTATAATTACAGGGTGTAAGGCATTCTATACTAGTCCGCTGCGCATATAGAGATGCGCTGTCTAAGTTGACTGACAGCGCATCTCTAGCCTTCTTTCTTTATTTAAATTGGCCACAGGTGTCCATGGACAGCAGTAGCCATTTACTACAGGAGGATTTTGTCACTTCATTTTTTTTTAAATAAACCTATACACCTACATTATTATAATTAAAATAGAGAATCTGTTTCAATGAAGACTTCTCTTTTTCTGAAAGGTTCTCATTTTGTTATGTATTTCATATGTTACGTTATCTTCGTTGATTGTGGATCCATTTTAATGCTTCTTTTTTATTAAATATGTCATACTTCTGTGGTGGCCTATATTAATATCACCTATAATGTAATTATACCTACATTCATTTGAAGACAAAATCTATATGTAGAAAAATAGGGGATAAAGTTTTTAATGCGTGGATGACTTTCGAGCACACAGTCCACCTGATGGAACCTAAGTGGATGTTGTGGCCCATAGACATTTATCCTTAATTAAGAATTATATTGCAGAATGCTTCATCACCACTGAGGACTAAGATAGAATGCTTCGTTTCAAGTTAAAAGAGTCTCCGTTTATCTTCACACATCACACGGAACCATCGATATATATGTACTACGTACTAGATTGCGATTCGAGCATACACTATGTTCAACTGAACTGTACTGCAATCCGTACAGTGTGTCATTTAGTGTAGTTTCAATCTACTAGTTAGTCTGTGGTTTCAATATTCATGCAGTGTGGAGCGGCGCCAATAATACAAGATTTCAAATTAAATTGTAAACCTGGACGTAAATAACAATTCAGTAGTCAAGTAAGTAAAATTATTTGTTGTTCAAGTGAATAAAGAGGTAATAATATCGTAATATTACATTAGAAATCAACTGCGTATGCGCGACTTTACTAACTCCCGCGCATGCGCGAAGACATAGAGTAGTGCACATTTTTTGTTTAAAAAGGCTTCTCTCTAGTACGTAGTACATATAACTCAATGCACGGAACAAAGTATCATGAATTTGCTATTTCATGCTGGTATTCTGTGAGAGCGTGGTCCATCCTCGGTCAAGCCGACCTGTTTGTGCTACAAGCTACAACCATAATAATATAGCTGCAGCGAGGCTCTATATAAATCTATTCCTTAGTCTCCACTTATAAACCTATTTCACAGTCCACTCAAAAGGGTCAATAAAAATTATTTATAGTAAAATGCAAAAGCAGACTTCAAAATACAAAAAAAATACAATAGGCTTTCACGTTTTATTGCTAATCAAAATGTTTAAACTGCGAAATCAGACTGTGTGGATCTCAAAAAGTGGATATATGTGACACTTTGGACTTTAAAACATTGGACCCGTTACAATAATCTGCAAATTAAAACTTGAATTTCGAACACAGTGACATCATTACCGTTGTCAAACAAGATTACTTACTGCCAAGACAAGCAAAACTTCTGTAGCTTATTTGTTACTCTTACATGATTTAAATAAAAGTACTTGCACTAATATTATGACTTGTTACAGCCATAGTCTACTCGATATGAAGATCAACCACGTTCTAATGCATTGCCATGATCAAGTCATATTGAGTGCAGTACAAAGCATTATACAGGTAAATAATGTAACAAGTGTTAAGTATTGTTTTCCCATAAGTCAACATGAAATTAGAATACACATTATCGTAGCCACTTTTCTCATTTTAAAAATAACAGACGTTAAAATATTTACATAAACATTTTTCAAATTTTTTGACGCACTTCGTTGGGTAATAAACATTAACTCTTTAAAATTTTTACATTAAAAGAGCTTAATGATTTATCAAGCAACTGAGTGTGGATATTAGAGATACTTTTTTACATTTCTTTTTAATCCGTTCCAATCCGAATGTTAAGGTTTACGTTAAATTAAGACAAATTCCAAGTTGCAAAACACAATGTGTGTAGTGACTTGCTCAAAATAACATTATTATCAATTTGAAACTTAGCATAAATACAAGAATAATATTACTTCTTTTTCTTTCATATTATCAAGAACATGATAGCTTCGGAGGACGCGAGTCAGCAGCAGCTGCATTATATGCAAAGCTGCGGCTTCGGTGGCTTATGGCGGTTTGCCGGACCTTTCTCTAAGGTAATGTTATTTTTTAATATTAATAAATTAAAATAAATATTTCAGAAGCTTTGAAGCTATTGTCCAATCTTGTTTCAACTCCTGTTGGCAATACAGTTCTAATACAACTATATCGTAATAATGAGATGCTATTTTAACCCTTTCGCTGTCCCGTGCACTACATGTATAGGTCATTGTTATTGTCTTACTATTAATAGAATAGAATAGAATCATTTTTATTCAATATAGATTATAGTACATAATACTTATTGAAAGTCATTTTTTAGTTTTACCACTGGTTCGCAAAAGAAACTTCTGTCCTGGGAAGAGCCAGCAAGAAAATCATCGGGACTATTTTTTTAAAAAGCACAATTTATAATATAATATTTTATACAATTGTTATGAAAACATTTACGAAATAGCATGGTAGTGATCACCTCATTCCCAGAGGTTATTATTAGTCGAGTACATGACTTTAGTAGTATAATAACCCTTACTAGACAATTTTTGCTTAATAAATAATTGTTGTAAAAGCGTATACATTGCCCCATGAAGGAATTACTAACCCTCAGTCGTGTAACTGGTGTAGTTAACTTGTGCTTGTTCCTAGTATTTACAGAATGTACTTCACTATTTTTAATAAAACTATTTTTGTTGTTTTTGTATACATACAACAAGTTCTCGTAAATATATTGAGAGGACAAAGTTAATATATTTATTTCATTAAATTTTTCTCTAAAGGATTCCTTCAGACCTGGGTTATAAATTGCTCTTTTTTGGCTCTCTTTTGCAAAACAAAGATAGTTTCAATATCAGTCGCTTTACCCCATAGCAAGATTCCATATGACATTATGCTATGGAAATAACTAAAATAAACTAATCTAGCTGATGCAACACATGTAAGGCAACTAATCTTTTTTTCAGCATATGCTTCAGAACTAAGTTTGCTAGCTAGTATAGATATATGACGGCCCCATTGTAGCTTCGCATCAACTGTAATACCGAGAAAAATAGTGAATTCAATAAGACTCAGCCTTCCCACTTAAAAGCACACTGGTATTCACCTTTTTAACGTTAGGTGTAGTGAATTTAATACATTTCGTTTTATTACCGTTTAAAAGTAAATTATTGACGTTAAACCAGTGTACTACTTTTGATATAGCATCATTCACTTCGTGATATTTCAATAATTGCCTTTTTAGTCGGAAAATCAACGAAGTATCATAAGCAAATAATACTTTTTTTATTATTTAAAAATGTTATCTTATCATAGTTATTCCATATCAAGTAATGTAAGTCATTAATATAAACTAAGAACAGAAAGGGACCAAGAACTGAGCCCTGAGGAGCACCCATAGATACTACCGATCCGGAAGAACTGCATCCATTAATAACAACTGTTTGCGTTCTATTATTTAGATATAACGTAATAAGTCTATGCGCTATGTTTTTTACACCATAATGATATAGCTTCCTGATTAATGTCTCATGGTGAACACAGTCGAAAGCCTTGGAAAGATTACAAAATATACCCAAAGCATCTTCTGAATTTTCCCATGCACAGAAAATATGTTTGATTAGCTCAACACCGGCATCAGTTGTCGAGCGTCCCCTTGTAAATCCAAATTGATTGTTATGTGGTAATTTATTTACATTAAAACTTCATTAAACTTAACATTTGATCTAGAATAATTTTTTCTAAAATTTTACTGAGCTTTGGCAGTACCGAAATAGGTCTAAAAATTAGTGGGGTCCAATGTACTGTCAGATTTAAATAAAGGTATAACTTTACTATGTTTCATTAAATCAGGAAACACACCAGATTCGATACTAGCATTGAAAATAATAGCAAGTTGGGGTGCGATCGCATCTATTATATACGCAACAACTTTAACAGAAATCCTCCATAGGTCTGCTGTTTTCTTTATATCAATAGTTTTGAAATATTTTACAATGAGACAAATGACCTGATAATATTCTGTGAAATGCAAATTCTTTCTGACATTTACATTTTGTTTGAGTAATGACTCGGCTACAGCAGGGGAGGAATTGAGTGACTTTGTAGTCAAGATCGGAATGTCGGTAAAATATTGATCAAAAGCCGTTGCAACGTCTTGATCTGATTTTGTCAAATTATTGTTAAAATTTAATTGAAAGTTTGAGTTGTGTAGTTTCATCTTGCGAGTTTCACTATTGATTATACTCAAAGTCATTTTAATTTTATTAGAGTCATTCTTAATTTTGTTTCTTAAATACAAAGACTTGGCTTGGACAACACACTCACTTAAATATTTTGTAATATTTTTTTACATATTATCTAAATAAAACACTATGATTATATAATCTTCCATTGTAAAGGTCATACAACTTTTGTCTACTGCATTCCTACTGGTCACCCACTCATTAAACGATTTGCGACTGTTTAAAGAGAGTGTTTTAGAAGTAAATATTTTATAAAATTCAAGATTTATTAGTTCAAATATTGATCCATATAAATAGTTAGTATTGTTTTATATGGAAGAGAAGGCAGCTTTTGCATGCCGAGTGCAAAGCGCGTGGGTATGTTCTACTAGCGCCTAAAAATCAAGATTCCAACGTTTTGTCGCATGAAATCGTATCCAGCAATCATATTATACATATAAATGATATAAAAAGCACATTGTTAGAAAGATAAATGATTGTTGAACTTATTGAATTTTTTTTTAAATCGATTAATTGCTATTTTTAAATAAAAAAAGGGGTTTTAGTGGCTTATGGTGTGGATTTATCATGACCACAAGGCTTGTAAACACGATAACTTTTGAAAATTTCAATTGTTTAACTCAATCTATTTTTTAATCTCTTCATCTATCATGTGGGATGCCACTGAATGTAAATGGCAGTGTAATTTTGTTTTGTTTAGCTATAATTAATTTTTTTCGGCTCCAAAATGGCGAAATTTTCGTTGATTTGGTAGCATTGTATGTAAATTATTTCTGTAAATGGGGAGCTACAGCCACAGAGTAATTTACTCACTCACTCAGTTCGGCGTTCATAGATAATATACTATATTTTGGGGTATCGGCGTCAGTCGCCGTCGTGAGTGGACATTATTTCGGTTGTTTGCAGCGGCTCAAAAAGATCGCTGTACAAATACACAATATTTGAATAACCAAATTTCTTAAATACTTGATTATAATAATAATAAGAGATTGTTTTATTACAATATTTTAAAAGCACAAAATAAATAATAAGTAAGTAGTAGTGTTCTGGATCGCAGTGGACTGTATTATTGGGGGGGTACGCTAGGGGGCAACTGCTCAAAGAAAAGATGGTACTGTCGAACTATACTGTATTCTAACTATTTACAAAATGTGGCACTATTAATTAAACTATTATACAGAGGGGAGTCTTCTTGAGTCTTGATTTTCTTGATTTCTCTTGCTGTCTTCTTCTCGTCGAGTGCCGCTTCCGAAATGAACAGCTCACCGTCCGAGACGCCCTTCTTATATCTCGCCGGAGAGCGTCTCGGGTCGTGCGTAGCGTCGTCCGCGATGCCGCGCGCTCATTGGTCGGCGACATCGCGTGATCTGCTGCCGGTGTGCGGGGTGCGCGGGGCGCACCGGGGTGTAAAGGGGCGACGGGGCGGCGGCCTCCTCGCTGTCCGCTACATCCTCCCCCCGGCGTAGCCTGCGAGCCTAAGCTTCTCTCGGGAGGACGGCGATCTTCCTGACGGGCCGCCGCAGCACTCCTCCCTTGGTCCGGACCTCGACGTTCCGTACCACGCCGTCTGGTCCAGGAAACGTCTTCGTTACGATGCCCCGCGGCCACACATTCCTGGGTAGGTTGCCGTCTGCAACCACGACGAGGTCTTCTTCCTGTATTTGGCGCTGCTGAGCATCTCTGGAGTCCCCGCGCGCGACCAGCGTCGGCAGGTACTCCTTCACCCAGCGCCTCCAGTATTCGTCGGCGAGTCCTTGCGCCGCTCTCCACGCCCGACGATCCATAGGTGTGCACGGCGCGGTGACTGGCAGGCCCGATGGTCCCAACAGTAGGAAGTGGTTGGGTGTCAGCGCCTCTTCATCGTCGATGTCGACCGGTACGTGCGTCAACGGTCGAGAATTTACAGTATTTTCGGCTTCAGTTAGAAGCGTTGCCAGCGTTTCTTCTCGTGGGCTCTTCTGATGGAGAGTGGCTTCGAGCGCGGTCTTCACTGAGCGCACGAGACGCTCCCATGCGCCTCCCTGGTTAGGCGCGTCCGGTGCGATGAACTTCCAATCGACGCGCCGAGTCAGCGCGTAATCCTTCAACTGTGGCGCCCACTCTTCCATTGCCCGTCGTAATTCTGTGTTTGCCCCGTGAAAATTAGTCCCATTATCCGAATAAATAACCCGTGGCCACCCACGCCTAGCCGCCATGCGCCGCAATGCCGATATCGCCGAGTCCGCGGTCAGAGAATAGACTATCTCTAGATGTACTGCGCGCGTCGTTAGGCACGTGAACAGTGCCACCCACCGTTTTTCGTGCCGTCGTCCTATCGTAACCGTCAGAGGCCCGAAATAATCAATCCCGGTGTTCGTAAATGGTCGCGCAAACGCCCCTAACCGTTCAGGTGGTAGGTCTCCTGTAACCGCAGGTCGTGGTGTCGCCTTCCGTATTCTGCATCGTAGGCATCTCCGCTCCGCTTCCCGTACTGTAGGTCGTAATCGGAGGATATGATACCTAGTGCGCAGGTCGTTCACCACCCTCTCCCTATTGGCGTGGCTTGCTTCCTGATGCGCCTTCTCCACAAGCAGCTTCACAAATTGGTGACGTCCATTCAGGATAATGGGTCTCTTCATTTGACCGTCCACGTCGGCTGCGTCGATCCTTCCCCTGGCTCGTAGCACTCCATCCTCCAACATGGGGTCGAGCTTCCTTAGTGCGCTGCCGGTGGTCAAATTCTTTCCCCGCTGAAGGCGGCTGATGTCTTCAGCGAAGCTTTCCTGCTGGCTGTGTTGTATCCACATTCGTTCTGCTCTCTGAATGTGCTGTAAGGTCAG